GTGTTTTAATGTATTATAGACTGTGTCTCCCCAAATGTTTTTTTCTTCTTATTTTCCTTTGCTTTTAATTCTCGTTTTGTTATCTGACATTGGACATGACCCAAAAAGTATCGGCTGTTTTTCTCAACATACGTATAAAATATATGTACGTATAGGCTCGATTTCAAGTTTAGATCTGATAGTGTCGTTTCTAACCCTGTCTCTACTAAAAACGTATATTTATTGCCAATACAAAATGACCTACGTGAATGCGACTTCCATAGTAAAAATACATATGTATACGTATGTAAATTACTTAAATATTGCTTTCCCTGTTTAATTCCCATAAATTAACTACGATTTATTGCAACACATGCCGAAGAACATCGATGCCATTTACAGTCGCTTATTTTCATTATTATCCGTTCGCCATTTTAGCCATGTTTTTTTTTAGTTCGAACCATGGATGCAAAGATTTGCAAGACCAAAAATGTTTATTGATAAAATATACGTATATGTATATGTGCTTGTATGGGATAACGTGTTGGGAATTTTAATGTCGGAAAACAAACACGATGTCGGAATAACCACGTACTCGAAAACATATTTTTTATAATCATAACCAAAGCAATAACTAATAAAAGTAAGGAGTATTTTCCCTTGATGAGGAAATATTCTTGTACGAACTTTTTGCATGTCACGCTGCTTTAATATGTAATTTTTATGATGCTTGACAAATTAAGAACTGTAATAATAAATAAAATAATAATAAAAATAAACATAAAATTTAGCACCATTGTCTCATTTAATTTTATTAGTTTTATGTGCACGTGTTTATTTAAATAGATATTCGTATGTATATTTTTCGGAGATTAATTTTAATCATTTAATCACAAAAGTTGCAAACGTTGATACATTTCCTACGAAACTCGTGCGGCAGCGAAAGTTAGCCTCAACTATCAAATCGATCTGTCAAAATGTCAATCAATGATGCAACGCAGCCATATTGATTGTATCGAATTGAAGAAATAAAAAACATCAACTACAACAACAACAACAAAGTTTATTGAGAACACATCATTCTTACCGCAAATATGTGAAAGGTCATTTCATCGAAGTTGGACATTTTTAATCGCTTCATTTGCTGACTTTTGTTTGTGTGTTTTTGTTTTCTGTGACAAAATAATCCATGAGCTGGCAAATATCAAATGTCATTAATCAAACTAGGTTTGGGAAATTTTTTATTGAAATCAAAATAGGATGTTGCTGATTCGAAACAAAAATAAAGAGAGGTTTCAGAAGGAAAATGCTGAATGTGGAGTTACGAAAAGAATGAAAAATTAAAATGTTTGGTTTATTTTCTTTGGCATTTTTGTCCTGAAAAGTTGAAATTAATTACTGCTCTAATTTCTTCTAATAAGGATAAGTAGACATGATTGTTAAACGTATTTGAGATGGAAATTTTCCCCTTTAAGAAATTGCATCTTATTCTAAACGATATTGTGTTGGAATTTCTCCCATTTTTGCTATTGTAAATATAGTCCGAATGTGGTAATTGACTTTCAGCGAAAAAAGGGTTCATATTGAACCTCAAAATGTGGGAGAATTGAATTATCCAACCAGAATAAGGTTGGATTGAAAATAGCCTATTTTGGACCACAAACTAAGTTAAGAAATAAGGAAGATCTTCACCGATTGGCTTTATCCTAGTTCATACGATAGCTATACACTCGCAGAGAAACGTTCCAAAATTTGAAATCGATTGGATTATTAGTTTTTGAGTTATCGTGCCCGCCATTCGCAAAAACACTGTTTGGAGAAAAACGCTTTTAAAGTTTGGGAAGCCCTCTTGCTGTCATTTTATGCTATCACAATAAATCGGCTAAATCTTCAAAAATTGAGATTTTCACTTGAAGTTCGAATTAAATCAAAATACAAAATTCAATTTTTTGAAACCGAGAATGGGGGGTCCCCTTAAAAGAAAAGAAGTAAAAACGTGGTTATGTTCGATAGCCTCCACCATGTGATTCCTTAGTAGGAAATTTTAAAAAAAATTTCCGCTAAAAGTTTGTTTATACTATTAGAAAATTAAATACCAAACAAGTAAAAACGAGGCCAAAATATGTAGAAGTAATGGAGGCTCCTAGAGACAACTCATGTTATGTTAGAACCGTGAATATACCGAAAAATACGTGAGAAAAATATGATTGAAATTCTCAAAATATATAATAGTGGGACTACTGATTTTCGGGGGCTATAATAAAACGGAGATCATTATTGATATTTTTAGCAGTGAGATTTGATAGCCATTCGGATGAAAACAACATTCTCAAAATACCGACTTAGATCACTGTTAATAATTTTTAGCACGGAGATGTGCTATACTATGAGAACCCAAACTACCATATTTCACCCAATTCGGTTGGAAGACATATTCAAAATTTCAAAAATTTCCGAAACTACTGTCATTATTAAAAATGTTTGGTATGGATATTTGTTATTCAATAAGTGTCCAAAATACTAAATTACAGCCAGTTCGGTTGGAAATTGAGTCCCGTTATTCGGGGCCTACACCAATATCAAACGTCGTAGGAGTACTGGCATTGTATGTGTAAAATTTCAAAGATCTATCATCAATATTGCGATCTCATTAGTATATAATACATCCTTCTTAATTAAAAATTGTATACGTTAGTGATAAAAATATTCAAATGAATTCAAATGAAATTCAAAGATTTTCCCTAACAACCATACAAATGAATGAAGAAAATACTCCTGTAAGCACTTCATTTGACTGATAAACTCGTGCCATTCATATTCATAAAGCTTATTATGGCACGATTTAAAAGTTGTATCATCCTGGCGGTTTGGCTCTTAACAGCTTGTTACAACAACAAACAAGCTAAGCTTTCTTTATAATTGGATGAATGAATAGCTGGTCGTATGTAAGATTTCTCTGGTAGCTCGTGTGTTGCGATTTGAATATTATTTTCCGTGTGGTTGTTGCTATTGTTTGCCAAAGGACAAGATGTGTTAGACAAAAAATAATTTATAATGAGAAATTTTGAATAATTTTTGTTCATCCTGTTGAGTAAGAGATTTCAATTATTATTCATGGTTGGTTGTCTACCACAACGCACACACACTCACACGGACACATTCATGCGAGTATCTTCCCACACAACATGCAGAATCTGAGTAAGCAGATATTCTTTCTCTCTCTCCCTTGTGGGAAATCCATCCCACCAGCCATCCATTGTTTTGATGTTATCTTCATTTTCTTGGCATTTAAGTTGATGCCATTTAATTTAATACACTCCAATTTATCATTCCTTATTGCTGTCATGATCCAAGCATTTTTTGGATGCAACAAACAACAAGACGGCACCGCCATTATGCACATAAAAAAGTTGAGGAAGAATGGAAAAGTAGCAAAGAATGGAGTGCTTGCAAAGAAGAACTAAAAAATATTCGGATAAATACAGCAGCGAATATTTAAAAAAAATGTGTTGTTCATACTTCAGCAAAATTGTTCCAATATGACTGAGGATGACAGAAGGAGCTAACGAAGCTCAGGCCAATGGAAATCTGCATGACTTGGCTGAGAGCACCATACCCGTGTCAGTAATAACTTTAAAAGGATTACAAGCGAAATGGGGAATTTAGATTAAAACTTCAACTCGTGTCGTTCAGCTTGTTTGCTGCCATGAGAGTTGAGTTTATCACAGAGTTGCCACATTTTTATAATGAATATTTTGGTATTAGTTTGGAAATAACTTCTGGGGAGAATGTGCCGAACAAAATATATTCTTCTCTGACTTACCCCTTGTTGGACAATGCCATACATTCCCCATATTACCCTCTATCAAAATGTGAAGTGTATATTAAATTTTTTATTCCTTTTGCAATACCTCGAAGTATTCACCTTAGACCAACAAATTACACATATTGTTGATCAGAATAAAATTCTATGTCGATGTACGCATGTCCGTCTGTCTGTTGAAATCACGATAGAGATCGCAATAATTAACATAAAGCTCTGAAATTTTGCACAGACATTGCTAGACATCCTACGATGTTTGGTATTGCAAACACAAAATTTCGGTATATTCGGTATTTTGGACAAGTTTCCCAACAACATTGGCTGTGTTTTGGGTTTTCATTGAATTACACACATCCGTGCCAAAAAATTAAAAAAATATAACCCTTTTAGTTTCAGTGTACTCTCCCCAAAGTCAAAAAAGATCCATCAAAAAAAAATATACACACACACAAATAACCAAACAACCAAATTTATTTGGTACACCTGTCAAATTTTAGCTCCATAGAACGCCAGCCCTAGCCTTTTCTCACGAATTTTTCAGTATATTCAAGGTCCTATCATAACATGAGTTTTCTCCTAGGAGCCCCTATTAATCCTCATGGTGAAGGATTTTAATTTTAATTCGTTCGGAACGAATTTAAAATCGTTTTAACTTGTTGATGTTAAAAACAATATTTCCTAAAAGGGCCATAAATTCGCATTTCGCAATCATGAAAGTTTTAAAAATTCTTCGTCGAAATTTTCAATATAGATCCATGTTTTGACTTGGTCCCCATATGAAAGCTGGCTCTTTACGTGGCACATAATGGTTATAACCACCAATATAATGCTCTCAACCGATTTTAGGTCTAACATAACAATTAATCAGTATAGATTTAATTTTACCATTATTTTCTTTAGAACAATATGGCAACCCTTGTAAAGCGTGACGTTTTTTCTGTAATAAATATTGTGGCACTTCTTTTCGAACATTACTTTCGAAACAATGTTGTGCGAGAATTAACTATTTTTCGCTATTTCCACTACCAGCTTCCAAGAAACGTGTAAATACAACAACAATAAGACTAACAAACAACAAGCAAACCATGATGAAGTAGAACTTGAAGAATTTCACCCTTTCCATCTACGTGTCCTTATGCTAAAAACTTTGTTGCATTTTTGTTCACTTCTTTTCTTTTTCTTCTTCTTTATTTTATAGCTTGGATTCTGGGCTGGCTTATGTGTAAGACGGTACCCTACATACAGGGTGTATCGGTGGCGGCATCCGTTTACAGTCTTATTGCTGTTTCATTGGATAGGTAAGTGTGTGCGTGTTTGAGGACATAATCGGAAATAGAAAAAACTCATTGAAATCATTTCCTTTCAACATCATTCATTTTATTTTTTTATTTTTATTGATTTGTGGGGAGTTCTATAAACTTCTTTTTTTGAGAGGGAGGATTTTTATTGGGTATGAATGGTGGAGTAGGGATGCGGAAATCTGGGACATAGATGGTGAGGTTCTTTAATGATGCGCTACCACAGCTGCATGGGCATGATGCACTGGTACAACAGGTACTACGGGTTTCACAGCCACGGGCACCACTGGCTTGGCCACCACAACTGGATGAGCCACTACAGCCTTAACTGGAGCTGGATGATGAATAACGTGTCTGCCCATAAATCAAGGAAATTAGTATTCAGTCCTCCTGTTTGTTGGTTAAATGAAGCCATAAATACTTACGAGTGCACGGCATGGGCACCGTGATGATGTATTACGGGAGCATGAGCCACCACAGCATGGCCATGAACAGGAGCCACGGGAGCAACTACAACACCAGGAGCGGCAGCCGCAAAAGCCAGGACAGACAAGACCAACAACTATAAAATTCGATGGAAAAACAGAAAACCAAATAAAAAGCAAACAAGAAATGAGACTTCCAGAATGTGACAAGAGAAATGCGTGTAAGGCATGGCGCCAAATTGAAATTATGAACTCATACGACAGACTCAGCCATGCAGGCAGACAGGATAACAGACTTACAAGCTTGAACATGATGACGGGATTTTAAGTGTTTGCTTAGCAAATGGAGTTGAAAATTTGAAATTTGTTTCGCTGTTACGCTAGATTGGCAAATGATTTGCAACTGATGGTGAACATAAAATTCCGAATAGCTTTTATACGCTTGGCAAAATGTTTCAAAATGTTCTACGGAGATTATGGCGAACATTTTTAGTTAACTGAGAATATTAAAACAGTTTTAAATGCATCGATGGACGGAGGGTTAGGTAGATAGGAGAAGGGGTGATAGTGAGGCTGAAAATGGGTGTGCGTAAATGTTCACATGTGTATCACTCTGAGAACAGGCGTTCAAAAACTAGATGACCGCCGGCTGTGTCGAATCAACTACCGGCCTGTGATAGTAGCCTGCCTTTCGAATATACCCAATACTCAGCCACACATTCAACCACGTTGTACGGAACTCAAGGAGACATCACGTCGTTGTCAAACATTTCCAAACGACCGAATCTCGAGCAAAAAAAAAACAAATAAAAAAATTAACTGAACAACAACCAAACGCACACACACATTCATTTGGGGAACATTAAAATAATTTGGCTCCTCTATCTGCTCCCTCTCCTTCAATCTGCCCATCCACCCATAATAAAAATAAAATTCGAAGCCAATGAATCGAAACAGTTTGAACTGAAATTAAATGCAAGTTTAATGTTAATTCGGGTTTTTTTTTTTTTGTTGCTTTTGAGTTTGTCGCAAAATTTTATGCTCTCGAATGCAACGTGATGACAACGTCAGCATCATTTGCAGTGACAAAATGTGCGATACGATACGGCTCGTGTTTGTTACGACCATAAAAAAGTGCATTTCTTGTTTGTAATCAAAATAAAAAAACGTTGATATTGCATTACAATCTTGAATTGGCGCTTGCATATATTTTTTCGTTCGTAATTTTTGAGGGGGGGTTTTTTCGTTGTTGTTTCTCGATTTGTTCCCCATTAGTTAGGGAGACTGTAGGAGTTCATTAAGTGTATTCGAATACACTTTATTATACCCTTTATTATATAACAGAAGAGGGGTTTATTTCTGGATAGTGTAAAAAATTCATTGCACTAAAATGTAGAACTTGATGAAAACTTGTTATGAAGTAGTAGATGGTGTTCCCAAATTAACCTTTATTAAAGTGGAAACCTATATTAAGTGGAAGGTTTTAAATACAAGTTTTCAAAATGTCTTAGCAAAAGGAGAGTAGCGAAACCTCCATTCCATAAGTTAATTAAATTTGTTTATTGGTAGGGGCATTAAAATATTAACCAATTCTAATCTAATGCTTATCTAAGGCAAACTTCTCTTTACATTTTCTTCAATCGCATCGACTATTATCTTCGAATGTGGAGTAGGTCAGCGCTAATCTATGACCACGATTTCTATGCTCATACATCATAGTTACGGCCAAATATATTTACACACATGTGACTTGTTTTTAAGCCTACCAAGCCAACCGTTCACACATAGCGACATACACATATGTGTGTATGTTGATATGTAATTGTTTATACATACTTGCAACTTGGCTGCTACAACCCATTGAATATTGCTTCCACAAATCTCCAAACAGCGTTTATCTTGCCGTTTGTTTTGTTTACTGAAACAAGATCAAGTTCATCGAGCAAGCGAAACGCCTTGACCATCGTTCTCGTTGCCATGTGGGCCTGTCAATGCATTTAATCGCATTCATTAATATTTTTCTATTTATTGCTAATTTTTTTTGAATCCATATTATTTTGAATATTCGTTAGGTGACACATTTGATCGATCGATTATTGTTTATTAGATTGGAAAAACTATTATAAACGATGATATACCAAAAAGTATGGATTATAAGGAAAGTGAATATATATGTTAGAGGGGGGTGAATATATACCCCACAAGGTATATACACTGGTGGCCAAAACAAAATGAAAAAGTTATAATTACTATGTTTTGGTTTCTAATTTTTAAATGGATTTTATTACAATAACATGTGTCTGGTTTTCAAAAAATATAAAAATGGGTAGAAATAAGTACAACTCTGATAAAACAGCTAATTACTTTAATTTATCACAGAAAATGATTTCTCGAATTGTAAGTTGATTTTATGAAACTATATCAGTAGTGACAGTTCTGCGCGGAGGAAGACTGGTTATAGGTTATAGCTTTAAAAAATACGCATTTAACAGTTGAACGGAATTTGTGAAACCGTTATCGTTGGATATAACCTCAAGAACAGAACGTGGACGAGCTATGGTAGCAGGCCTACATGCCCTGAAAATATCAAGAAAGTTATTTTACTTTTGAAAAAATCGGAAATATCATGTTAATTGGATTTCGACGCAGCGGAGAAAAATTATGCTCTCGGAAGAATTAAAGTTAAATATTAAATACTCTGACATGAACAAAAAATTACAGTGAGAAAGTTCAAAATGGAAACGCTCATCCCACAGATTTGCAAGGGTCAGTAATGGTATAGAGCAGAGTTTTTTTATGTAGTTCGATGTATTTACAAGATTTATTAAACAATGGATCACATTGTTTATACAAATGTGTATGATCTCGCGAAAGTTATATAGCGTTTGTTTGGGTGTTTCAGCTTGACCCTAACATCCAAAAATACACCAATACATGACAACGGTTGGTTGCAGGAGTCAGGGGTTTAATCGCCAACGCAATCACCAGATCTTTATCCTATAGAAAAATCTTTGAATTATCATAAATAGCAAAATCAAAAGAGTGTCACAAACAAACATACATAACCAATAAACGTGAAGTCGGTCGACTATATGACTATGTCTGCATTTCTACAAAAAGCAATGACGTCATTCTATACTCAATTTTGTACGTTGTGCAAAATTCCGCTGACGAAACTATATATGGGAGCTATATCTAAATCTGAACCGATTCAATGAAACTTTTCTCACGTTATGTTATACTAACAGTACGTTGTGCAAAATTTTGTGTCAATCGGTTTAACGTTGGGTCTTTGGTGAACGATTTACTTAAAATTGGACGAAACTTTATATGGGAGATATATCTAAATCTGAAAGGATTTCAACAAAACTTTGCATACATTAATCGGGACCTAATTCAGTACGCTGTGTAAAATTATGTGGCATTCGGCCTAACATTGGGTTTTTGGTGCACCATTTACCTAAAATCGGACAAAACTATATATGAGAGCTATATCTAAATCTGAACCGATTTTCACGAAACCTAACGCACATCACTCCAGACTTAATTCAGTACGCTATGCCAAATCGAAAGATTTGTTGGGACATTGGTGCACCATTTACATTAAATCGGACGAAAATATATATGGGAGCTATATCTAAATCAGAACCGATTTTTACGAAACTTAGCATACATCATTCCGGACTTAGTTCAGTACTCTATACCAAATTTCGTGCAAATTTACCTTAAATCGGACGAAAATATATATTGGAGCTATATCTAAATCTTAACCGATTTTTGCGAAACTTAGCACACATCATTCTTGACTTAATTCAGTATTCTATATTCAATTTCGTGCAAATCGAAAGATATATAGGGACCTTGGTGCACCATTTACATTAAATCGGACCAAAATATATATGGGAGCTATATCTAAATCTGAACCGATTTTCTCCAATTTCAATAGGGTTTGTTCTTGGGGCAAATAAATGATATGTGCCAAATTTTATCTTATTCGGATAATAAATGCGACCTGCACTTTGTTTACAATTTAACATGAACAGACAGACGGATGGAGGGACGAACATGCACAAAACGACTCAGAAAGTGATTCTATGCATATTCTCAAAAGGAACCATGGGTCTACCTCTTTTTGCCTGTTACAAAAATATGCACAAAGACATAATACCCTGTACTACAGTGTGGTAAAGGGTATAATTATTAATCTTGAACCAAGTTTAGGTGTGGCCCCCATATAACGGGGCCAATGATTTCACTACCCAAAATGGTGAACAATGATCCCCGTTTTGGTATAGGCCCATAAAAGCTTAGCCCCCCATAAGGAGACCTCATTATTTTACATATTTTGAATGTCACCCTCATGGTGGAGGTTGTAAAAAGATCGGCCGGGACGAACTCAAATTGTTTTCTGTGTATAATTATATTTAATGTATTAAATTATCCATTGAATAATATCGGATATAGAATTTATCAAAATATTATGATATATAGGTCCATCATTACACTAAACATTTCATTTGCAATATTAGGATAATATCGATCGAATTGGATAATATTATTATTTTTCAAAATATATTCAAACTGCATTATTTTTTTTAGAACTCCAACTATTTTAATTGTATGATCTCAAAATTACATTTAAATTTACACCTTAACATTTCCCCATTTACATTTTAGATCCAACATTTCTTAACAATGTTTAAAATATCGTCATGCATACATATAAATATCCAAATATATACAAATATTGCCACCATGTAATAGTTTTTTGTTCCTTCTTGTCTCAAAAATACAATTCTAATCTATCATCACTGTTTCAATTTATTTTTGCCGTTTCTGTTTCGTCTGTGTGTGTGTTTATTTGTTTGTTTGACATTTTGTCATTTCAGATTCATTGCCATCTGGTGGCCTCTACGACAATTGTCGAAAAGTCGAGCTCGCTTTATGATTTTGTGCATTTGGATTATTGCATTTGGCACCACCATACCGTGGGCCCTATACTTTGATTTAGTACCCGCCACCGAGGCATTCCCAGCTGCTCCGGATATGTATCTGTGTCAAGAGGTCTGGCCACCGGGCACCAGTGGCAATTTGTATTTTTTGTTGGCCCATCTGATGGCCTGCTATGTCGTGCCCATGGTATTGATAACCTTGTGCTATGTCCTAATCTGGATTAAGGTGTCAACGCGCTCCATACCTGGTGACACCAAGGATGCACAAATGGATCGAATGCAGCAAAAGTCCAAAGTGAAGGTTATCAAAATGTTGGTGGCCGTGGTCATATTGTTTGTGTTATCCTGGCTGCCGCTTTATGTAATATTTGCTCGTATCAAATTTGGTAAGTACTAGTAAAACACCAACAACAACACAAAAACCAACTGTCGCGCACACACACACACACACACCCCCGATGAACATTTTTGGTTATTGCTGTTCGTTCATTGAGACGATTATTGTTATAAGTCTGCTGTGGCTACGTGGACAAATATTTGTTGTGGTATTCTTCTCCCTCTCACTCCCTTCCTCTACTTCCATTTCGTTATAGCCTTATTTTTACAGCTTTTCCAAGAGGATCTGAAGGTTGAAATGAATTAATTTCGTTTCGCTTTTGGTGTAGCAACAAAGTAGAAATTGTTTCCTTTCCACCTCTAGAGGTAGCTTTGGGTGTGTGTGGGTGAGAGTGTCTGTGCATCTGTGGTGGCCAATAACACCCCAAGTGCATTCCGCCCGGTCACCTTGCACAAAATGTCTATCTCTTGAACTACAAGTGCGACCACGAAAGTGTTTGTGTAATTGTATTCACACACACAGTTCGTAGTACTACTTCAGTCAAAGCCCAGCATAACCTTTGCTGCAATCGCTGGCGTTGCCACCCAAACAAACTCCCACTGGTTCGACCTTCGAATGCACTCAAAAATCGGTGTCAGTTGTATTCAGTCTTAGTGGCACGTACGGCAGTAGTGGGTCACAACAACAACAATATCAACAAGGCAACATGCGTCCAGCTGTGTGGGGTCCACTCTATAGAGAAACTTCAAGTAGTTTTCTCGAGAAGAGAACACAAAGGCTTAAAACAATCGAAACTATGAACAGACTATGCTTGTGAGAGTGTGCGGCGGGTCATTGCCATAGTTATTCAAATGAAGGTAATGAAGGCTTTTTGGCGAATATTTATCGCAAATCATGAAGTTAAATACGTCGAAATAGATATGTATAGGTAGGGTTTTTTAATGATTATCAATTATTTAATTTCTAGAATATATTCCACAATATACTTTACCACGTAATATTAAGGGAAAATTCTCACTTTAACAGAAAAGGGAAAGTCCCTTACTCTCTGGCGCAACTTCGTTTACATTGGCTATGTTTATACAAAAGTTTCTTTTTTAATAATTCGCAATAAAAATTTCAGTTTTTTCATTGATTACCCAGCAAACAATTTTTGCCGAATTTCAGAACTTATGCGTAGTTTCGTTCTGATTTCGGCAAAAATCGGTATGTATGCTGGCGAAAGTCCAAGAATAATTCCACCTCACATGTCGATCTAGCGTTGTCATTTCACGTACCATATCACAGCTATATATGGTCTCCACCATTGCCATACAATAATTTTAAGTGTATCAATGCACTCTTGCCGTGCTAAAAAAATATCGAAAGCTGTAAAAAATAATCGCAATAACTGAAAAATCTTATGTGAAAATTCTCTCCCTGTCGAAAATTCTTATAAGATAGTTATTTAAAATAAAGTTTTTTTTTTAACTAAAATCTTCCTCAAACCTATCTCAATCAACGTTACCCAATAACATGGATACCAAATTTCGAATCGTATAGTATACCTTTTCAACTTAACAAATATTTCAACTTACAAATCGCAGTATAGTTTTGGGTACGAACTAAGTTCAATTTTAAAACTAGACACCCTGCGTATACGTGTCGACAACAATCATACGCGCCATGATATTCAAAAGAGAATTTTAAAAAGTCTGCGACCACTTGAAACTTTTTTAATGTATTTAAATAAGAACTACAAAAAACACTCAACAACAACAACATGTTCATCTTAAATCAGCCAGACTTGTTGTTTATGAATATTCAACACAAAAACAATCGGACTTCAAACAAAAACTGCAAATCCATATATTGTACGCCATTAACAAACTCCTCTCTTTCAAGTTTCAAGGCATTTGTCGTCGCGTTTAGCAAAAACAAAAAAAAAACGAAAAACTACAATTGAACATGACAGAGATGCCTTGACCATTCCATTCCAACCTTGAACTTACTCCTTTTTTCTCTCGAGTGTATTTTCACAAAACCAAAGTGCATCTCTGAAAATCTCTGTATCTGTGTGTGTGTGTGTGCTCGTCGGTGCATTTTCAATTCAATGTCAATCACACACAAATACATATTCATACACGTACACACACCCACTTATGCATATATGTACCCACCTACACACACTCTCATATGTACTTGTATATTTTAATGCAATCCGTATGTATTCCGCATCTGTGTTTTTTAGGCGGAGAAATTTCCATGGAGGAGAGTGAAATCTTGAACAAGGTTACACCGTTCGCTCAGTGGCTGGGTTCATCCAATTCGTGCATCAATCCTATACTCTATGCATTCTTTAACAAAAAATACCGACGAGGTTTCGCTGCCATTATTAAGTCACGGTCCTGTTGCGGTCGTTTAAGGTGAGTGCCGAGAGAAACATAAAAATAAAAAACAAAAACACGAAAACAATTTGCAATCGTGTTTCAAGAGCATTCCAAAAGTATTCAAGGTCCACACTGCCAAGACTAACGTTATTGTTTTTGTTGTTTTCAGGTACTATGAGAATGTGGCCATAGCATCATCCACCACCAGTACCAGCCGCCGTAAATCATCCCATTATCACAATGGATCACGCAAAAGTCCCAGCAGTCCTGGCCTACGAAAGACCAATGCCGTGTCATATATCTACGAACACAACTCGTTGCGGCGCCACAATCTAATGTGCAAACAGGATAGCAACTTGTCGCAGCAAATGTTGTTGAAACAGGACTCGCATGGTTCGCGACAATATCTGGTCAAACAGGAGAGTGCCTCCAGTGATGGCTCTCGTCGGCTGTTGTGTCAACAGGATAGCAACGGCTCAAAGGTATCGCTGTCGAAGCAAGATTCTGTGGTATCCTACTATTTGGAGAATAAACGTGCTGGTCACAATCTTCAAGATTCATTTGCAACACAGGATTCCATATCGGTTGAGTCACGTCGCAATACAATGTCACGTGCGAATGACAATGGCAGTGGTACGCCGGCAGTTGGTTCGCTATTGGAACATAAACGCCAGAAATTTGTTAAACAAGATTCGGTTATATCGTTTGTGGATCAGAGGCCAGGTAAGAGAGGGGAAAGACAAAAAAGGAATATTTGTTATACATACACCTAACATCCTATATCCTGATTACAAAGGGATAATTTTTTAAAACTCTGTTCTTCTTCCTTTCTATTTTCGCAGAACCCCGTCGTCATCAATTGGTCAAACAAGATTCCGTTATATCTTTTGCCGATCAACGTCGTGGTCTACTAAATAAACAGGATTCCATTATTGGATGCTCTAGCCGGTCTGGAGATGGTACTGGTCATCATGTTTCGATTCTTAAGAAAACCGATTCACAGCTTAGCAGCGGTAGTTTTAGCTCACCAAGACGTAACATTGAAATTTACGAATAAATTACGTCAACAAAAAATAATATAAGCGGACAATGGTACGAACACCAAAGCAAATCGTGCTAACAACAAAAAACAAAGCGCATAGATTATAACACACTTACACAGAGTTAAGAAAAATGAAAAAAAAAGAAAAACAAACAGGCACACCAACATATCCTTACAAGTCAGGCAATAACACAATAAATACAACTAAAGAGCAAGAGAATGAATTATTGGACCCACTCTATCAAAGGGTAAATAAACATAGATGAGGGAAATCAACAAGAACGAACAAGCAAACAAACAAAAACAAAACAATCAAATTGTATGTTTTTAAAAATTCGATTTCACAAATAATTAAAAAAATATATATACATAAATACAAAAACAAATATATATTTTCGAAATATGCAGTGATATTTTTTAGAAAACAAAAACATAAATCTATGTATTCTCCATTATGATTTCATTTCGATTTCTTTCTTGTTTTCAAATATTTATAGATGTCAGCATGAGTGTGTTCAGGGAAATGAAAGTTGTTTTTTTTTTTTAAACAATGCCATGATTGAAAACAAATATATTTAACACAGGCCTAGACCTTAACTTATAAAAATACCGATACATACATACAAATTAATGTTAACTGTTTGCTAGAATTTTATTATTTATTTTATACTGAAACCACAACAACAACAACAAGAAAAAAATATAATCAGCTTTTTATATGAAAGAGTTAAGACAAATGAAACAAAAAAAATAAAATAAATGTTGCAACAAAGACACAGGAGGAGGAGGTAATTCTTAGAAATTGTACTGATATACCATTTTCAGTTTTACAAAGCCGCCAGTCGAAGACCAAACATTTATTGGTTTTGTTTGATGCCTGGGGAATTTTTTTTTTAGTTTCAAGTTATTCAATAACAATTATTGTTAACAAAATAAAATTTTATTAAATTCAATTCCCATATTGCAAATTGTAGGAGTCCCTTCTAATGATTCTTTTTGTTTCATGCTTTGCCAGTATCTTTGGTCTGGGATGGAACTTTGTGGTTCTTTTTTTGTTTTGTTTTGTAGGTCGGTGCTGGAATACACCAATTCGATGGTTAAGAAAAATCCCTCCCCCACCCAACTTCGGGTAATGGAGATAAAAATAAAGTACCTTTATTTGAAACCAAATAAAAATAATATATATTATTAATAACAAAATAGAGTTATAATAAACAACAACAACAACAAAAATATATTAATAAACAAAAAAATGAATGAAAACAAAGTTTTGTATTTGAATATTTCTAAAATAAAGAAAAAACAAACAAAAACAACTAACAAATTTATATACAAACAATTTGTATTGATTTTTTTTAATATCAAAGCAATAATTCTAACATACATACATATTACAAGAAGAAGAACAACAACAAATATTTATACAATACATATATATAAACTATTATATACATAATAATACAAATAACAACAATAAATTAATAATTTATTACTAACAACTACAACAATTACCATAAATTAATTACCTATATATAAAGTGAAACATTAAATAGAAATGTAATCCGTATCCGTATACAAGATGACATACCGAGCACCAACTAATTGCCGGACATTCCATTAAAGGATATGAACATTAGAACTAATTATGATCTCATAAATCATGGGTTGGATATGAAATTCAAGAGCAGAGGCGTACAATGAATGCGTGAATGATTTGATTAAAGATAAAGAAGCAAAATTGCAAAAATATTTCAAACCACTTATACTATGCCTGGGATGTTATTAATGTAATGATTGGGATTTTTTTCAAATATGTCCTCCTTCTAAAAAATGAACTGATTTTTAATATAAATATCCGGATCTAACTTCTAACCTAACTCAAAGAAAGAATAAAAATGTCAAAAAAGTCGACTTTTAGACATTTTAATTTTTGTCTCTTACCAAAAATTCGGTTTTTTAACTTTTCGACTTTTTCCCTTGGCTATAAGTCGACTTTTCGATGTTTCAATTTTGTGAAATCTGTTCAAACCCGATTTTCGACTTTTACGGACTAACGTAAAATCGACTAAAAATATGATTTTTTATTTGAATTGTTGTCCGATAAACTAGAGTTGTAAGATGCGTAAGTTTAGGCAAGTTGGGCTTTGTGGTATTAAGCCAAGAATTTATGAAGAAAATCGAAAATCAATCATGAAAAGTCGACTTTGTGACTTTATCAAAGATCAAAAGTCGATTTTGATTTTTAGATTTTTCAATTAAAAAAGTGGATTCATCGATTACATATCCCTAGTCCGAATCAGGATTTATTTTCTTGAACATGCTGAATTTATCATGATTTATAATAAAAAACATGATCGAAATCATGATACCAATGAAATACATCGCTGTTTTTAACGAAAAAAATTAACTTTCTCACAGTGGACCATAATGTACAACAGTTTTCATGTGTTGTCAGTTTTTATATTCAACTAAAGTCAAATGCAAGAACGAAAGAGTCAAAGGAAAATAAAAAAAGATTTTTTGTGGTTATAAGTGGGTTTTAACTTACAACATTACAGGAACAATTCAACTGCAAACAAATATTTTTGCGAACATTTTATAATTTAGTTTGTTTACAAACAATAATCAGCTGATTTGTATTTAGATTTGCATTAGATTGTAATTTGGATTTCGTCAATCAATTGGATTTCAAATCCTATATGAAATGTACTTTTATTCTGGATATTCACTACGGGAAATTTTCTCCTTTTCACTTCCGCGCCTTATTCAAATTGTAGAGATAGAAACAATAAATAGTGATGAAGTTCTAGAGTTCGAGACACAGTTATTGCCATATTACAATGGAAATTATAGTGCATGTTGCCATATTGTAATTCAATATTTTAATAGTTTGCAACATTATTTTTGTTTTGTCTATGTTAGATTACATTAGAAAAAAAGAAAACATGTGTTTACCCATCGACCCTCAGTTACGATAACGTATATGGGCAAGCATGCCTGTTTTAAATACTTTATGCTTCTACTAATTTCTTTTTAACGCATTTTTAAACGTAAAAGGTTGCCACTTTTGTACTTTGGGTTTAGTTCAAAACCAGGGCAAATGGAGTTAGTTGATTTAATAGTATCTGATACAGTTCGATTCAGTTATTAAATCTAGATAATCTACATTATCACAATAAAAGCTATATCTAAATGCACCTTTAATTCAATTTAAAATTAACTGTCCTGTCGCTTGTAAACGTCGTGTTAATTCCTTCCTAAACTGGCAACTTTCTTCATATCTTCACCAATGATGTTGTGATACAGCTACGGTTTAAATAATTCAACCTATGAGATTATGAGAAAAAAATAAAAAAATATATATATATTTAATACAAATCAAGAAAAAAAATGTGAAAATACGAAACATTATATAACAAAGAAAGAAAATACAATAGCAAATACAGAAAGCACAAAACAAAAGGCATACCAAAAAAATAATTAAAACTATATACGATATTTAGACTTATATATAATGATTTTTAATATGACATTTCTATAAAATAAAACAAAACAAAGAAGTAAATCCACAATACAATGAATTATATAAAATATATTTTGTTTACTATTTGAGTAATGAAGAAATAGAAAAAAAACAGAAATTAAAATTATTTTATTAAAAAAATATAAAAATTGTACAAAAAAATATTTAAGTAAATACATAACTCCACGAGTTTGTTTTAGAACGAGCTTAAAGCTCTTTTAAAGGAAAAAGCTTAACAGAACTCAACAAAAAATAAAATGAAAAGTACAAATTAAAGCAAAGCAAACAATGAAACGACGCCATCTATAGAAATTACACTAAACTAAATAGCAAATGAAATGAAAAAATGTAACCAAACCAAAGACAAATATATATAGAAAAATACATTTTATTGTTTTTTTTAGTTTATAAAACACAAAACAGAAAAATAATAATACTAGTAAAATATTTGTTTAATTTTTTTAAAAATGTTTTTTAAATTAACTAATAGTAAGTAAACAATTTTTTTATTTTATTTTTTCCAATTTGCATAGATTTGTTAGCAATAGTTTAATTGAACAATTTGTTTATTTTTTAAATATGGTCTTTCATAACGGCAAAGATTATTTTCGAAACAATTGACCTTTCCATAAAATATTAAAAGGAAGGCATTACTTATTACCCGTGAAGCATTTTTGTACAATTGGTTAGTTGAAGTCCAATTTGTTCCAAACAACAATTTATTAAATAAAAAAATCATTAAAAATACAAAAGATCGATCAAATAACAATTACAATATTGATATGTATGTATTAACTACCTACCTATATTGAAAAATCCCGTTTAGCCATATATAGTAATCGAAATACATAAATATTATAATTTATTTTTTTAAAAGAAACATTCAAATAGGAATCTGCTTCAAAATGCAATGCCACTAAATTTACAAAAAAGAAACATACATACGATATACATAATTATATAGAAGAACAAATAAACAGCATAGACAGAAATAAACATTAACAAAAATATAATATTTTAAAACATATTGATAACAATACATATAATAGTATCTATACATATAGTCATAGCTTTAACAAATACCAAAGAATAACACTTGCCCACATGCATACATAACTATTTTGAAGAAGAAAAAGATGAGATTTAGAAATAGAGACACATTTACACATGACATGTCCAAATCATAGGAACGAAACCAAAGATTTATTTTAATACCTACAGTTTGTCACAATTCATGCCAGCCTTTAATACGTTTTCAACATTTTTATAATAATACGATTTTAAGATTTTCTTATAACATTTTTGTGACGCTACTGCATCTATAACAAAAAAATACAGATCACACATACACATCTAATATAATAGATATATCAAGAAAAATATATATTGTATTGTACTATAAAATATATAAATACATACATACAAATATCTGTATAACTTTGTAAACAATAACAAAAAAATGAAATTAAAAACATCATTAATTGTATGAGAACAATTTATTATAACATTGTTGTTACAAAAAAAAAAATAAATAAATGAAAACAAATACCGACAAAAAATAAATAAAATAAAACCCAAAATTACCTTAAAAAGCAAACAACTTATTGCACTTCCTTCCGCCTATATAAGGTAAGTTACAGCTTCGGAAGCACTTGTCAGCGATTTTTTGTAAAAAAGTTATTTATAACGGAATTGTTTGCTGTATTTTATTCACATTGTTCAATCGATACGTAACATACAGTAGATAAAAGCGAAAGCTCCATAAAATACCAAATTTTGCACATTCGATCGAAATATTTTTTTAATATAATTAAATTGTATATTTTTTTATTAACAGTTATTACAAAAATGTTATTTTATTTTTTCTTTTGAAAATTATTGACAAATTGTAAAAAATGTGTTATTTTTTATTTCTAATTCACAGTTTATAGAAGTAAATTTTTTAATTTAACAATAAAAACGAACCATATCGAATTGAGACGAAAATTTGCACAACGTTTGCTTTAAAGATATAAGATCTGTTACCTTACATATATATATATATATATAGACATTGTTCATTCTAAGATTTGAAATATATTTTTCATATTTTAACAAATTTGTGTTGGAATAATAAATCCGCTTGGTACTTTTTTATTGAAATTCAATCAAAACAAACGAAGTCTTCACTGACTGTCAAAATTTTTTTTTTGAAGAAAAAATAATTTTTTGTATTTGAACCAATTGGCCTGTTCCCGTACTGCAAGAATGTACTATTTTTTACTACGATAACATTTTTTTGCCTTTATGATATCGGAAAAAATAGTAAAAACTCGTAGATTCTTGCAGTACAGGAACAGACCAAATATATACTCCCACAATACTATTATTATGTTTCTTTGAAAGATATTTTGAGATTTTATCCTTTTCAAGTTGGTATTTCGCGAAAAGTTGACAGCAAGAGAAGACATAAATTCGCCTCCATATTTACAAACCAATAAATAGGTCGTGTAACAAGCGAATATAATCGCCCATTTTGGTAGGCAATCCCCCAAACTGTCAAATTTTTGTTTACGTTTTCACACGATTAATTCAAAATTAAAAGAATTTTGACAGCACGGGTGAAATCATCTGGCCTTATCTTACGACCTTATTATTGGATCATGGGCCCAAATATCAGGTCATCCGTAAGACGAATTCATGGCCCAATAAACAGGTCGTGTACGATGCGAATATTATCGGCCATTTTAGTAGAAAATCCCTCAAACTGTCAAAATGTTTGTTTACGTTTTCATACGATTAAGTCCAATTTTGACAGTTCGGGAGAAATCATTTCGCCTGCTAATTAGACCATGGACGAATTCCTACAAAAATACAACCCTACATCTAAATATATTGTCAAACATTATTGTTATGGCGAATATGCCTTTTAAATATTTCGTTTATTTTCTATATCTTTTAAATGCGAGCGACAAAAGTAACAAACCGCACTGATCTTATAGAAATTTATTTATTTATCACAATATTTCATATAATTTTCCTGCACTTATACATATTTGTTTTTCAAATATTTTTTTACTTTCTAATGATAGCTAACAATAAATGTAGGTGGCAGCTGGTCATACTGAACGACCTAATATATAGGCCAAATTTATAATGAGAACTCCATTTTAGATTGTGTTTTCTAAATTTTTTGGTTAAAAACAAGATGTATTTAATAAGGTGTAAGTGGCAATCATATGGTTTTAAACTTTTTTCTTTATTGTTTGTAAAGTAAATTGTCAAAAATATTTGTCAACGTTTCATTTCTATTTAAAATATTGTCTTTTGTTTTCGATTATTATTTTTTTATTAATAAAAGTGCAATAATAATGCATTTATAGGGACGACAAGGAAGCGTGAGCTTAAATCAGTTCTAAATCCGGCCCCTGATTTGTTCCACATATTTGCCGCAAGTACAACTTGGGTTCCAGATTGCAAATATACATATGTATATGTGTGCTCTTACGATCGATTTAATACCAAAAGGAGATTGTTAAGGAAAAGGAAATCTGCCCCTAAATCCCCTGTTTCCCTCAAAATCAAAGAAAATGGTGTTATATAGCTTGTATTAGAAATTGTCCATTAGTTCTCTACAAACGCCTGGCTAAATACAATTTTGTTTACAATTTAAAATGAGATTCTGTTGCGTAGTCTATTGAGAGATTGCTTACGGGTTTGTGGTGTTTGACCGGCGATTTATGTCCTACAATTTTTCTACCAAAAGCCACTTCTTCCAAAATTATATTGTAATTTAAAATATAAGCAAAATCCCCAAGGAATCAAGGCTTACATGTGGGACACTTTTCAAAATTATTCAACCTGAAGAAATTTCTATAACAACAATGTTGTTTTTGTAAAATGTTTGTTGTTGTATCTGGTATATACACCTTATTGGTTAAAAACTTGAAAAATTAGCACAAGTTTTGAATTTGGATTCAATACTGGTCGTTAGCATTAATTAAATAACTGTTCTTTCTTTCAAATCACCTTTTTTATAATGATGGTAAAATTAAAAAGAAATACATATTTTACAACAATGCTTAAAAGTGAATATGCATTTTTAATCGAAATCCAAATTCAAATATTTAATTTGTTTAACAGTTGAATAAAACATCTAAGGAAAGAAGCATTATTTGCTTTCTTCTTTAAACTCAAATTCGTAGATATCAATTCACTTAGAATGTCGTTTATTTAACCAAGACAGAAGAGGCATACACATTTCATTTTAAATACCAAAATTAATTACAACATGTATATTAAAAACCTTAAACAATAATAACCAAATTTCGTATAATTTTTTAAATTTTTATTTGGATTATATTTTTTCGATTTCATTTTGTGATGTCTTTCAGAATCTATAAAAATATCCAAACAAAAAATATCTCCTGTCGGGGAAAAACAAATTTCTCAACACTGGCAACACTGTTTGCAATCTTTGTTTTTGAATTTTTGTTTTGAATGGCATTCGTTGGTTGCGATTATTGGTTAACGACGACAGTCATAGCCAGCCAGCAGTCGAAGATTGAGGATTTGTGTCGGGCAGTTCCTTTAAAAAAACGTTAAAATTTTCCCTAATAACAAGAAAAATAATAGATAATAATAATAATATTGAAAACGATAATACAAAACTCCGACTATTTACATTGATTATCAGCTATTAATAAAATAAACAAGACGATAAACCCACTAAAAGATAAAATAACGAAGTGAGAGGTGCTTCTTTCCGACGACATTGAAGACACATAATTTTCTTTCATAAGCTAATTGATTTTACACACACACGCACGTACGTGGGTCCATACTCTCATACTCATCGATAATACACGACGTAGACGACAACGTCTTCAAGACATTGGAACGGAAAATCACACAGCAGAGTGAAGAGTGACGACCAACAAACACACAACCCAACCAACCATCCATCCGACAAAATAAAAATTAAAACAATAACAAAACATTTCGTCATTGCTATTTTCGTCCGGTGGAAATAAAGCAGAACGAACTACAACGCCTGGCCAGCCAGATCCAAATCGGTGAACAACTCTTTACTAATATAATAATCGACGAGAGAGCTAAAGACTGAACCGAACTAACAAAACGCTATTAGCTGAACGGCGTGTGTGGAGCACAAGTTGTTAGTTATTGCCACACATTATTACATCGACATCGTGTATTATATTACAAGGAAAACAAATTAAATCAAATTCTTCGATTCCATTGGACCAAATCATGGCGACCCAAACAACAGCTAAGTCCAATCCCAGTGAAACTGTTCCAAAAGTGGTTGGCGGTGCAGCTGTTAATGTGGATGAAGTAACATCAGATTTGGGTTTCGATATGGACGATATGAAGCATTGTTTTGACAATTTGATTGTCATCGATGCAGGAGCTAATCTAACCAATAAGAAATATAGCCGTGATTTGGATTCTGTCATACAAAGAGCCAAAGATGCCGGTAAGTTGTGATCACACTTTAACCTTCAAAAAGAATGAATGAAGACATTATGACGGAATGCATAGCTGGAGAACAATTTTAATTATTTAATTGACCCAAGTGTCAAGGGCGTATTCAAATGTGTGTGTGGGATGGACAACAACAAAAAGAATTCTGGTTGTTTTTTCTTCCCAAAGGGAAATATATGGGAACTTGTGTGTGTGTACGTTTGAAGAGAAGAAGGAATGGGTATATTAGGGTAGTATTATGCACAGGGAATTTGTGAATGGGAGTGATGTGAGGAATTATAAAATTTATTCGAAAAGTAATATGTAGTAATAATGTTGATAGGTATATCGGTATCATGTGGTTTACATTTAAATTGCAGTATTTATTTTTTAGTTTTGTTTATATTTTGATAGATGTTTCCAATATCGTTCTTAATACATAGATAGATACAACCCTCGTTATCAAATTTGACCGAAAATTTGAAATAACTACATATTTGTTATTACACCAGTGTTTCTTATCTATCACATTTTCTTCTTATTGGAATAATAGGAATTCTACTATGCTGCCGGATACAAATATATTTTGGTTGTAATTATTCCAATTGGCTATTGTTTGATTTTCTGCACATGGCGTATTATTTGCCTTTTAAGTCGAATATTTATTTTGTATATGGATTTATGAATATAAATCAAAGCTAATTTACATCAGAATTGATTTGAATATTTGTATCTACAAGTTGATAAAAGAATGGCGCATGTTTGAACAATTCATGCAAACAACGATAATGTCGTACATCTATTTAAACACTTTTGATAATATGATGTACAGTCAGTTATATTTCCTAGAAATAGCAAATTTTGGAAAAGCTCTAAGAGAGCAATTTTTGCAAGGGTATAAAGAAACATGATGAGTTTCGGGAAGAGTACACCTTTGTGGTGATATCCCATAAAGGAGAATTGGTCATTGGTCTTTAAAAATATAGTGTGAATTCAAAAATTTTATATTTATTCACAATAATTTCAAAGAGAGAAATTACCAGTTAAAAATAATTACACTTATAATAAACAATATTGAGATAAATATTATTGAGAGTTTTGAAAAAGAGAAATGAACCATTTAATTTCCCAATTTAAAAATACGTTCCTACAATTTGAATTTAGGTGGAATATATCATTGTGATAATTGTTTAAAATATATATTCGGAATTTTATAAGTTCTCCACCATACAGGTAGAAACTTAGAATGAATATTGTTGGCTTAATAGTAGGCCTTCCACCGGGGTTGTAAGACTCCCTCATAGATACAAAATGGGTATACCCAAATGAATTACTTTAATCACAATCACAAAAAATATTTATTTATAAATATCTCGTGTATAGCGGACATTAATATAATAACTTATACCCTTGGTAATTATACCAAAGTATAATTGGGTGCATTTTACGAGTAGATATTTGGGAAGAATCTGCAACGTATTTCCTAAACTAGAATTTTTCAATACCTTATTAAAAATATATATTACGATTACAACTAATTTTGCCCTTCTAAACTTAAAAAATAATAACTTATAAATAAAAGTTTATAAAAGTGAAATGGCCAAATAAAACTTTTCACTCCATTGTGTTTGCATAATTTACTTGTTCCACACAACACATACTATGCATATATATGTTTATATTGTTATGTATTCCCTACCACACAATAACTAATGAAATTCTTACAAAATATATTTGCAATTTTATTTCAACATTTTTTGCAATGAGTGTACAAAACAATATCTACAGCATACATAAAAATATATATGTACGTGTGCCTGTGTTTCGAAATATTTTTACGCACATTGTAGTCTAAATACATACATACAAGTCATGTTTGTTGTATGTTTTTCATCTCTTAGATTACGCCTCTGATGATCATCAATGCTGCTGCTTTCATATAGCAAAGAAAAGAAAACATGAATAGATTTATTTGTCTCTTAGGGCGTCGCCTTGTTTTGCGGCTGGTGTGCGGCTGACTGAGGAGTGTGGGCGATCGATATGACCTTTTGTTTTTGTTTACTTGTTATTCGTTTTATACGGGAGATGCACGTACACAAAAAAGTGATCCGAATCATACTCCATATCATCTTGAATGTTTTTATATTTGTATGTTAATTCCCATTAGTAGTTCATTGAAATGTTTCAATAGATTGGCCATGGAGTGGAAATGCATTTCTTCTGTGTGGATATGTCTGTTTTGTGTTCTATTGTTAAGTACTATTCACTTGATCGTATAATTTATTGATTGTTACTTTTTGGTTTTTTATATTCAATACAGGCGTACAAAAGATTATGGTCCCCGGCACTTCGGTAAAGTCAAGCAAAGAAGCCCTCCGACTTTCGCGGATTTATCCCGATATTATTTATTCGACTGCTGGCATACATCCGCACGACTCAAAATCGATTATCGAAGATCCAAGCAGCTGGTTCGAATTCCAGGAAATTGCTGCCTCGCAAGAATGTGTTGCTATTGGCCCATGCGGCTTAGACTATCAACGTGATTTTTCCGAACCAGATGTACAAAAAGAGATCTTCGAAAAACAGTTGCTTTTGGCTAGCAATCTAGGTAAGGCCGTATTAATTCATGAGCGTTCCGCACAACAAGATGTACTCGATATACTAGACAAGTGAGTATTATACATATACATATGTAAAATACAATAAAATTTAACACATATTTTGTATTTCAATAATTTTCAGATTCGAGAATTTACCTCCGATCATTGTTAGAAGTTTCATGGGCACAGCCGAAGAAGCAATTAAATATTTAGACAGAAGGTTCTATATCAGTTTAACTGGTTATTTATGTAAGGTAAGAAATAAATTATTTTTCAATATTCTTAATATGGAAACAATTAAAAACATTTGTAACATGACATGCATGTTAAAGATAAAATTAGTGGTATTTCAAAAAGATATTGCATACAGAATATGCATTTGATCTATATTACCTCTATTTTTTGTATTAGTAAATTGGAAGCCCATAATTTTCATTCCCAAATAAGTTACCTTGGGATAATAGAGCTCTTTCTTTAGTTTATAAAACCTTGCTTGCAATATTACAAACCTAAATTGTTTTATTCTTTGTTTCAGGACAAATCAGATACTGGCGTCCGTCGCCTTCTCGATAATGGAACCTTGCCATTAGATCGTTTATTGGTAGAAACCGATTCACCATTTATGTATCCTAATACACGTGCTTCAAAACTTCCACAACATGTCAAGACTGGCATTACTGAACGCTCTCTATTGTACTTACACAGGTAAACACTCAGATTTAAAAAAAGAAGAAATAAAATTCTATTAACTATTTATTTTATTTAGATATTGTACATTTCAACGCAATGAACCCTGCAGCCTACCCGCAATTGTGGAGATGATTGCTGCCTTTATGAAGAAGTCAGCCGATGAAGTAGCTTTAGCAACAGCTTTTAATGCTCTAAAATTATTCGGACTTTCTTAAGGCCCTTTTAAGTGGCTGATAGACAAACAAAAAACAAAACAAACGAAAAGTGGTGTTGTAAAATAGTTTTCAATGTTTGCATGCAACATATATAACATACATATTTACATACATACTGTGCCAAAAAACCACACACACATACATAAACGATTTTGCTTAGCAAAACAAAACTATCAAAAAAAATTAGAAAAACTATAAAAATCCTTAAAAAACAGGAAACGAAACTAACAAGTGCCTTATAAAAATGAAATGCAACTACCACTTTAAAATTATTTTAAGTTAAAGAATGAAAACAAACGACGTCTTATCCGTTCGTTAACTAATCACAGCTAACATTAAGACGATAAAAACAACCCCTATAGTTAAGTTTACAAACAAAGTTAACAATTAATGACAGATCAGATTACTTTATCCAAAAAGTATACTCATAGAGAATTGTGAAAACGTTTGTCATTAATTGTTGCAAAACTCATTTTTAACAAGAAAAATTGTAATCGAATTTTTTTTTACAAATACGTACATATTTATGTTTAAGCTAACAAAAGAAGTAATTTGCTTGATGCCATGGCAAAAAAAGAATATCGCGCGTCACACTGATAACAACAAAATGTATCTAAGGTGTTCTTCAATTCATTTAATACTCGGAGATGGTGCACACTCCCCCCATGTTAATGGATTGTTTAAATATTGAATATCAACGAAGGCGTCTTCAAAAATCGCTAATTAGCGTTAAAAACTAACAGCTGCAGTTTTTTGTTTTACTTTAATTTCATACAATGCCAAATTTATATTTTTGGCACTTTTTTGTAAATACATTTTTTTATTTGTTTTATTTCTTATCGTTGTGTTCCCATCTAATCTTTTAGTTAGTAAGCGACTAAAAATGAAGCATAATTCTAAAGGAAACAAAATATACCTTTAAGCGTGTACTTTAAGTGCTATTTACATGAAATGAGAATATTTATTTAACAGAAAGATGCAAACTGAGCATGGATACAGTTGTCCATAAAACCACACATACATATATACATTATTTAAACAAAAATAATTATTGTTATTAAACAAATGTTTTCTATATTTATTGTATAAGTCATTCATTAATATCGTGCATGTTTTATCGTGCTTGATATACAATTGTGATCATATAAAACATAAAGCTATTTATTTTTATTTTTTTTTACATTTTTAGTTTTGTAAACATTTTTTATACATACAAATCAACACATACCTATATTTACATATTTAACACTCTAAAAATGTGAATAAATAGAATTCATTACAATGTACGTTAAAGTGCGTATTTATTTGAATGTTATGCTCCACACAGACACCCATAATTGAAAATAATTAGTTTTAAGAGAAAATAACAGGTTTACAAGGATTGTTAATAATGAAATGAAAAGTTTTAATAAAGGTTTGCGCCTTTTTCAAAATGGCAGCTAAAACATGAAATGTTATTGTTTTATTCGTTGGTGTAATTGTAAAATAAAAAAAATCTGAAATCAATGATTTACGACTGACACATGAGATTACTTAAAAATGAATTTGTTAAAAAAAAAAAAAATATATATATATATATACATTTTCTTCCCTATTAAATCCTCAAACCAGTCATCTATATCAGAAGTTTTTTTATTTTACAATTAAGGTTCGAATTTAATTATCCCAATACGCAAAAATTCTTTGTCGAAAATGTTCGACATTTATTCATTGTGATGAATGGTTTATTATTGTGAAATATGGGTTATTATCGATAATGTTTCATAAGTTAATCACCAAAATAAAGTAGTCGTTGAGCCCTACCAAGAGATTAGAGTGTTGACATAAAGAATAAGTTGACATACATTTTAATTTTTTATGAAAAATTTGTGTTTTAAATATTATTATGTTTTAAATAACACCAAATAAGTTACAAAATTACACTACTGGTTACCATATTTACTCATCCAGATTTCTCGAGTAAGAAGTTTATAATGGGAACGTTTGAGTAAGAAAAAGTTGCGCAAATTGTAAAAATAGTAGATCCTTACCGGATTTGAAACCAAACTTCAATTGTTAAAAAATTACTACTCAAAAACTTATACGAATAAATAATTATTATCTAACAAACAGAAAGTTTACTTTTGACTTGTTCCAGCACTGGAAGTTTATACTATTTTTTCATATCATAAAAGAAAAAAAAATACATTCATGCAGGTTCTGGAACATATTATATGTAAATTTTGTAATTTTTGCAAAGATTCCTTAAAACCCCGAAATAAATGTAATATATTCTCAATATTTCCGAATGAACCTCGTAACAGTTTTGCTGTATATTTAATTAGTTAATTTGCAAAGTGCAGAAAGGAATGAGATAAGAGTAGATAATTTGTTACGTACATGTAACTAGCACGTAATTAATTACAAATCAGTATTAAATTAGCTTGAAACCCGGTTTAAAAACTAGGTTATCAGGTATGAAGAGTAAATTAACGTAACCCTATTTTCCATGCTATTTAAAATTGAGTAAAATTTTCTCGTAAATATTTCATATTTTGCTACAATTTTATATTCCCCACAGCATTCAGATGGAAAAATTGTTCCCAAGCTAACTAAAATCTTCCGTTCATAAATTTTGAATGGCCGTTATTATTTTATCTAGCTTTTATTCAATTCAGCTTTTATAATGGACGTTATGGTTCATTTTTGCATCCGTATTAATTGAATATTAATTATATTTTATAGCAGTTTTGACTGTGGACCCATTTATATATTTTTATACGTATTAAGTTGTATATTAGATTCATAGTTATTAGTGTTCTACTTAGGAGAAAATGTTTTATAAATATTGGATATTTATTGGTCGTGGAGGCTTTGAATATATAATTGTTTACAAAAAAGTCAAATAACAAGCAATTAATTTCTATAATCTTTTATTAGTAAACATAAAAAGCGTTTTCCATTGTTCGTTTCGCTTATATATACACTTGTCAATATGTACATTCAAAAACACATGTCTTGTTCTGAATAATAAGAATTGGTTTTATTTGAGAATAATTACATTTAATAAATATAAATTTTATAATAACTTTTCTCGAAATTACAAGTCATTAGGGTTCACATAAAAATCGTATAATTTTGTTAAAGATATATTTGAGAATGACTATATTCTATGGCCGATATTATTATATTTGAGAATTCCTAATTATATGGGCAGAAATAAATCAACTCCATGCAAATTACGTATTTAACAATTAGTTTACTTGTTTCGTCAAATATTTTTATTTCGTCATTTCCTAATCAATAGCGGTGTATGTTCTTGTGATCTTCGAACTTTTTCAGCTGATGCAAATTGTCCCACCACAGCAATAAATGATTTTTCAATATTAACTTAAACCATGGTGTCAAAGGGGCATCGAATTTTGAAATCTCCTCATCAATATTCTGACGTTTGACGAAACGTACATCGCTGACTTCATTCATATTTGGCTTGATATCGACATCTTTCTGGAGAAACAGAATGTAGTCGATTTCATGTTCACCCCATACACCATCTCCGGTATTGGCATAATGAATCCTTGTCAAATAATGGAAATTCTCTGGCCTTATTTGGTTGGTGGGTATGCCCAGCTCATAGTTTAGTCTGCGTTGAGCGGCCTTGCGTATGCCAAAGCAATTCAATTCATCTCGTTCGACTTCGATTTCATACAGCGGATGACTGCAACAGGCATTTGTATAGGTATTAGGGAATGTTATCTTAACAATAGAAATTAAAGAAAAACAAAGGTGAAAGTCAAACTTAATATGGCCTATTCGAAATTAATTAATGCACACATACTATGTGTGTATATTGCCCATAACGTACCTTGTGATCTGACCTTTTCTGGACCAACATTTCTCCCTTGGTGTTGAACAGAAACACAGAGAAGGCGCGATGCAATTTCACTTCCTTGTTTTGTGGATGGACTCTGTGACAATCCGCCTTGGAGGTATGCCCAATCACTTGATCATTTTCATTCACCAAGATGCATTGTTCCTCCAGTGCCAATCGTTGCAGTTCGTCGAGTTGTTTGGTTTCGGAGGCCGGTGCAAAGCTGACATAACTTCTGCATGCAGTCCTCAACGGTTGGGCACAAATACGTCTAGCCAATGCTGTAATCATTCTGGTAAAACTGAATAGTCTAAACAGACATTTAAGCCTATTTATTTACAAAAGTATGGGACAACGAGGTAGGGATCTGTAAATCAATTTGCGACGTCCAGTAATAATACAGTGAAGTACGGTTATAGCACACTAGTAGGGACCAAGCAAATTAGTTCGTTAATTAGAAAGTGTCTTATATCCAACGTAAGGCAAAACATAGAAACTGGTAGGTTTTGTATCATTTTTGACAATTCTTAAGCTATTTCCCTTTTCTTTTTTGTAAAGGTTGCCAACGTCAGAGTAAGAATTAACTTTTTAGCAAGTTCGTCATACCCAAATTAAAATATTTGAAAATTGGAAGTTGGGACCGATAATGGTACAATTGTACAAGCTAGGTATATTTTGTCAACTTAGAGAAAATACACCTCTACCTTGTGGGGTATAATGTCAGAATAAATAAAAACAAATGTAACAAAAATTTGACAGTTTGGGCGATTTTAATCCAAAAATGTCGATAACGATTACTTCTTACACGACCTGTTTATTGAGTCATGTTCAATACGAAAAATCGATTAGTCGAAAGTCGAATTACTTATCCCTAATCCCTAGCAGTGTATATTCAGAATTTATCAGATTTTATTGGTAGTGTTTTTCTCCCAGTTAAAAAATGGTAAAAAACGCCCATTATATTGTAAAAAATATTTATTATTACTGTTTTATTTTACATCCTCCTGCAGATACGTTTTATTCTGATTCAAAATAGAGCTGGAAAGACGCGATTGGCCAAATGGTATATGAATTTTGATGACGACGAAAAACAGAAACTCATCGAAGAAGTTCATGCAGTGGTGACAGTGAGAGATGCAAAACATACAAATTTCGTAGAGGTTTGTTGGGTCATTGATCCTCATTATCGGGCCAAAGCATTACAATTTCTAAATTTTCAATCTCTTGCAGTTTCGTAATTTTAAAATCGTCTATCGTCGCTATGCGGGTCTGTATTTCTGCATATGTGTCGATGTGAATGACAACAATCTTTGCTATTTGGAGGCCATACACAATTTCGTCGAGGTGCTGAACGAATATTTCCATAATGTCTGTGAATTGGATTTGGTCTTCAACTTCTACAAAGTGTATACAGTGGTCGACGAAATGTTCCTCGCCGGCGAGATACGGGAGACATCACAAACCAAAGTTCTAAAACAATTATTGACTTTGAATTCATTGGAGTGAATGGAAACGGCTCCATGGCTGTTTGTTCTGGTAGTGTAGTTATCATTCCACAATGTCTGTATGTATAGATTATTCTGTAACACTGACCGCAATCTACATGCTTACAGAAGTATTGTTTTGAAAAGTTTTGCTAGAAACAATTTATCTTTTTCGAATCTTGATTTAGTTTATAATTTTCGCCTTTTTGATTACATACATATATAAAATATGAAAGTATAACTTATCAACAAATTTCTTTTCTTTCCTCTGTATTACATGTGTAGCGTAAATACACAAACATGTATGTATGCATCGTTCAAATATATAAATAAATTATTGATATTGTTAAATTAAAAGTATTACAAAGAAAAATGTTCAAAAATTTTTAATGGTTTATTTAAGGAAAAAAAATTGTTGCGGCTGATATATTATGTATTACATTTATTAGCCAAATGTATGCCTCTATAAGAAAATGAACACCTAAGCCTGATTTAATCATAAGACACCTAAGCTCATGATAAATTGGTATGTAATAGTATTTGTGGTTTATGAAAGGAATGGCTCCTTTACATTGATTTTGATATTTCACTCGCTTCATGTGGGATTTACAAGTTTTCAAAATATTAAAATATGTGGAAGAGACACTAGAAGGAGTGGACCGATGATGCCATTTTCCATCATTATACAGTCTTGATTAAAACATTCGTTTGTGTAAAGTTTAGTTCAAATCGGGTGGTTCACTTGCATGATATTATTAAATTGTATAATCGGGTGGTCCGCTCGTTTGATATTATAAAATTAAAATGTTACCATTTATTGGAGAGGTTGCAGAAGGAGTGGACAGAAGTTTGGAAGAAATATTACGACGTGCAAACTTTGTTTCGTGTGCACCAAGCAGACAAACATAAATCAATTCCAAATTATTTGAAACGGATTTGGTCCAAAGTAATATTGGGTAATCATGTTTTCGATCTAAAGGTCTCATTGTACATCAGTAGTTTTGATCGATAGGTACTTACTTACGTAGTTGGCTTATGGCAGAATAGTTGTTCCATAAGCCGAACTTAAAAATGATTTACAGGCGCTTCGGTCTTGTGCGCATCTCATCCAATTTGAAATACCACTTTCCGAGTTGTTGTCTTCAATTAGATCTTTCCATCGGATTCGTGGCCTTCCCCTTCTGCGTGGACCATTACTTGGCTCGCGTTTATATGCCTTTTGAGCTGGGGCATCTTAATCCATTCTCACAAAATGGCATAGCCAACGTAGTCGCTGCAGCTCGATCCGTCTGACTATGCCATGGTTCATTCGATGGCGATATTCACCATCGACGCAGATCGGCCCATTGATTCATACGTATCGAATATTAAATAAAAAATAACTGTCGCAAATTTTTAAATCCGTAGCTAATAAGCTTAGTTAGTTGCAGGGATTTTTTCTATTCCGTTTCGTAATTTGGTACGATTTTTTATAAATATGTATCAGAGGACAATAACCAGCCACAACATTTTTATATCTGTTGAAAAAGTACTGAGGCATAGAGGTCTAAAAAACAAGTATCGAAACTGCCCCCAGTCTCCCCTATACGCACATTAGACATAAGGCTGAGAACATATTAATTACAAAATGTTACCAACAATTTTATTTTAAATAAACTCACATGTTTATATTTAATTTATTTCGCCGAATAAGCATTTTTGCTGTTCTCTTAACGTGTTTTTTAATCACGAACCTAAATTAAATACAATAGTGTAAACCTTGTTTTATTTTTTGCACATATAACAGTCGGACGATAAATCGTATTGCAGTTCACAACAACGTATATATCCAATATTTCAACATCACCCCTCATCTAAAATAATCGTTATTCACATTTAACTGTCGTTAAGTTTTCAGCTTCGTTGAGTTGTGTTGTTGTGTTCGTCGTCATCGCCATCTTTTTGTTGGAAGATTTTTTGCCTGTCGACCAGAGAAATTGAACTTTTTGATAATTACGTGTTTAAAAGTTAGCGCAAAAAAGCAACAACAATTCCAATAAAATAAGAAAAAAAAACAATAATTTCCTGCAAATTAAATTTCTGTAAATTAAAACAAAGGCTGAATTGTTCAGCTTGAATTCAATTACCAATTACTTATCGATAGAAAAACATTTTTTTGTCCACGTCAAACGGGTGACAAAAGTGATTTGCAAGTATTGTATATGTGTGCGTGTGTTGTGTGTGAGCTGAGTTGAGCGAAAAATAAAGAGAGAAAAAAACGAGAAGGAAATACAAAAAAATAGTGCGACGAGAACATTTAGAAAAAATTAGTTTTCTTCTGTGCTGTTTAAAGGAAGAATATTGTAAATTAACGTCCCAAATTCCCACAAAACAACAACACAATAACAACAATGTCAGCTGTAAATCCAGAATAGTAAGTGAACCATTTGAAGAAGAAAAAAAAACCAAAAACATTCATATTCATTCACACACAAAAATTTGCTTTCGATTTTTCTGGTTGAATACGTCTTTCTTTTGACAAAGTTTTTTTTTTTTTTTGCACAAAGAATCCGAAGAAGAAAATTCAATATAGAGCGAATTTTGCGACGTCATTTTTTTTGATATCGGGAGGAGTATTGCTTTGTTGTTTGATTGAGTGCCTCGACGATAACAATGATGGTGGTGAGAATGGCCCACTCCCATTTTTCCCCATCTTCACCTGAACGTCAGAACAATGGAAGTGCAAAAAAAAAAACATCGAATCGAATGTTTAATCTCCAATGAATGGGAAATATCTAAGAAAAATTAGTTTTGCTGTAAATTTTGTGATCGCAGAATATCCAATTAATTGGAATTTCAATATATTGCGCTTTTATAAAAGTGCATCCGACTAGTAATTTTTTGTAACCTTTGCCTGCTGAATGGAAAAAAGTAACTTTAATAAGGGGCGGATGAGTCACGGGCTTACGTCTTTTGTGTTTGTTTGCGTACTAATCGTTTATATCGGCCTTTATGTGGGCCTTTTTTGTGGCGATTATGTTGGTTGTGGTTATTAACGAATGTGAACGTAAAACTTATTTTTTTTGATTTCGTAACACACATTACTACTGAATATACATATAAAAATGTGTATCGTGTCTAGATGATTTTAATATCTATCAGTTTGCAGTGTTGCTTCGTGTTTTGGTATAACTATGGATGAGCTAAAAAATCATCTATTACAACCAAACAATGTTGTTGGTTTGTCAAACAAATGTCAAGAAAATAAATGTCGTTTAAGTAGTCAGATCTTTTTAATTTAAAAATTATTTTCTATTGGCTTTATTTTAAATGATAAGTATACATTCTAAAAGTAGATCAGAAATAAAATTTTAAAATCACAACATGTTTAAATCCACAAACATTTAAGGATCCTTCACTATAGGGTTTTTCTTGATCTCCCTATTGCCAATATATGGACGGACTTTGCCTCCATGCTTTCAATATCAAAATGATGGATTTTATTTTGAAATTTACAATGTAATGACAAAATGGTAGGCAGGATAAATAATACAATTTACATTAAGCAAGTAAAAGTGGTCTTCTACCATGAGGTTTGCATTAATGGTAACTCCTAGGAACGAACTCATGTTGTGAAATAAACTTGAAGATTGCGAAAAAGAGGTAAAGAAAATATATTTTAAATTTTCAAAATACCGAATAGTGAGGCTACCATAATATCGGGCTGTACCAAAACTGGGATTGATTTGATAAGTGAGATTTGAAACTCAGTAATAATAAACCAATTCGGTTGTGAAACGTATCCAAAATACCGAAAATGCGGGCGCTATCCTTAAACTTGGGTCGCTATTAATAATTGTTGGTAGTGAGATTTGACACCCACCCAATGAGAATATAAAATACCAAATTACAGCCAATACGGTTTAATGAATACAATATTATCAATATTAATAATTTTTGGTACGAATGTATACAATGAAAACCCAAAATACCAAATTACAGCCAATTCGGTTGAAAAGCTTGTTCAACATCCTCAACATTTCAAATATTTGGAGGTATCGTTTTATGGGAGCTAATCTAAAACGTGGACCAATATATCGCATTTGCAATACCAAACATACTAGCAATGCCTGTGGAAAATTTCAGAACTCTATCTTAAATATTAAAATGTTAGTTTCAACAGACGGACATGCGTAAAACGACATGAAATCTTAATCGGTCGGATTTTTTTTTTTCAAAAAAGAAGGAGCTTCTTGCGCCAGTCCATAAGCTTAACACAAGTCAAAAACTGTTGCCAAAACTGAAACGCCAGTAGAAGTACGATGCTACACGTCATCCATGGGCCATGGCTCTATACTAATATTCGTGTCTGAGAGGATGATTAACCGCATATTCGATCCCATGATCATGGATTTTCTAGTTGATTTTTAGAATCCACCCATATACAATTGTTTAACCTACATTTGAAAACACCAGCAAAAGCAAATAATTATGTTATCAGATAGGAGTTTTCATTATCTATATACAAATTATTATCAACAGCCATGTAATTTCAAGAAAAACTTATGCCAATGGCATCCACCCCCCAAAATAACTATGTTTCGCGCAAATCAATGTAGTTTTAAATATATTCAACTTTCATAACAATTTTATTCGTTAATTGCATATTCGAGTTTGTGATTTGATTGACATTCGGTGATGAAATATTGATGTTTCCATGGATTTACCGCGATTACCAATTAATGGAACACCAGAAAGCTTATTTTGAATTAATATAAAACACAAGAATTATTACATTCCATTTAAACATTTTTTTCAAAAGGCCCTTATTTACTGGGGCTCCTACAATTCATCCATACGATTCTGTTTGCATTTGCTTTCCACTGTTTGTAATGTGTATTTTTGTTGTTTCGTTTCGTTTTATTTTATTTCTTCCTTTTTTTCTTCTACGAACTTTGTTCAGCTGTTATGCTTCTTTTTCTATGTGGCTTCTCACTTTTGAAACGTAATCAATTTCTCTCTTTTTATGTCTTTGTTTCCTGTAAAATTTGTTTAAAATTACATCTTGCGATGCAATTTCTTACAGAGCAAAAAAACACAATCTTCCATTCGTTGGACGGTAAAGAGGCGGAGTGTGTGTTGGTCATCATCGATCGATATTTCAATACGCATTTAATTGAAAACAAAAACACACAAAGAGCATTTTTATAAAATTGTATTCATTCACAAAAACTTGAACAATTTCTGTTTTAATTTTATCACGTGTTTGGCATACCACGGCTAAATATCTACCAGTCATTGCTGCTACATGGGCATAATAGTTTTATTTTTAAGAACAGGTTTGACGTACATACTAGTGGTGATAAACCACAGATTTTTATGACTTCTCGGAGAACCTTTTTTATATTTTCGGGTATCTTATGCTAGTAAACATTCAATAGACGCAAAAAGAGTTGTTCGTATTATTTTAAATGAATCTACAGAAATGTCAGTACCAGCTGCGGAAGCTATTTTTATTTTATTTAATATTTATATTTGAGTTAAACAAAATATCCTGTTTATAATACTAACATTTTTTGATACATTATTGTACTTCCTTGAATATCATATTGTTTTCCTTTACTGTCATAGCCGTAGCATCCCATTTGATGTTAACAGACATTAGGAAATATTTGCAAAATGAAGTCATCGTTGACTAATAGTACGGCACTAAAATACAAAATTCAAACCGTCAGCATGTATTTATAATAGATAATGTGAACAATGAATGTAACATCAAGGAATATAGATTCCATTGGAATTGCAACGAGATGAATATTTATTTAGCTTTTAATAAACTCAAATTCCATTTAGGCTGAGACTAGTAATAATATAAAAATAGGATAATATTTCATTATGGAATAGAGATACCATTGCAATTGTAATGAGTTAAGTCTGAAATTAGTAATAATATAAGTATAGTATAAACTTAACCACAAATATATATTTTTGGCTAAATTTAAAATTTCGAATTCTGTTATAATTTCGTTGTTGTTGTTGTATGTATACATATTTATATCGACATTCATTATAACTGCCTTATCGCCGCATTGTTTTGGGACCGATGTGCTTTGACTCATAGACATTATTTTTTGTCGCCGTAAAAAAACTCTAGAATTTATGAATAACATGATTAATCTAAGATATAATATGTCAATGCATTTTTTATAAGAAATTGTCATAACGAAAATTTTTTCCATTTCTCTTTCAGTGATTATCTCTTCAAATTACTTTTGATCGGTGATTCGGGTGTGGGAAAATCATGTCTCTTGTTGAGATTTGCTGACGATACATACACAGAGAGTTATATCAGTACAATTGGTGTAGACTTTGTATGTTTACTTCTTCAGGAAAAATTGTTTATTCTATCTAATTCCTATTTTTATCTTACAGAAAATCAGAACAATCGAATTAGATGGCAAAACTATCAAGTTGCAAATCGTAAGTTTTTTATTAAAATTGTTATCGAGTATTTGTTTCACTGAATTTCATCCATTGATAGTGGGATACTGCCGGCCAAGAACGTTTCCGCACCATTACTTCATCATATTATAGGGGCGCTCATGGTATTATTGTCGTTTACGATTGTACGGATCAAGAATCTTTCAACAATGTCAAGCAATGGCTGGAAGAAATCGAACGATATGCCTGTGAGAATGTCAACAAATTATTGGTGGGCAACAAGAGTGATTTAACGACCAAGAAAGTTGTTGATCATACCACAGCTGCGGTAAGTTTGAATTTAGTTTATAAAAAAAAGTTATTCCAAAATGAATCTTATTTACAAATTGTTTAAGTTTGTGTGTACATGGTGTAAGTGAAATTATAAAATGCTTGCTTTGTATCACCAGTAAAGGTTGTATTGAAAGTGATATTAAGATCAACGTCTCTTTTGTCTAGCATTTAAAAAAACAGAAAATTGTTATCTGGACACCATCTATGTTCTGTCAAAGTTGAAATTGTTCAACCCGAAATTTCGTACGCTCGACGTATTTCGGTAACATTTATATAAATGATTTGTCCTACTTTTGTGATGGATAACGTTGAACCAGCTAACTGAATTTTAGGTAAATCTCTTATGAATTCTAATAAAAATGATGTCCTATTCATAGTTTTACCATTTGACAATCTAAGATATGGCTCCCCCTATATATATTGTAGGCGTTTTTGTATTTTTGTTAGCGAGTTCGAGTTATATAGCTGCTAATTACGGTTACATTATACATCTAGATGATAGTTTATATTAACCAGATATCACCAGGTCTGTTTCTTTCAAATCTAATGTGATTCTAATATTGTTTGCTTTGCTTATGGTATTAGGACTAGAGGCCATATATCGGGTTATTTTATAAATACATTTTATACAACAGTTAAGACCTTTTTATTTGACGAATATGTTCAGGTTGTGTATGTCATCGAGGAACATACAGATTTTCATACCTATAATGTATAGCACCATTTTTGAAAAGGTTTTTGTAAAACACGTCGCAAGATTACGGAACTACTTACCAGTTAAATTGAGAATATTTTCTCTATCCAACAATGCCTTTCGGTTGAAAGTTTTTAACTACTTTTGTAGACCGTAGAATGTCATAATTTATTTATTTTTACTTTTAGTTATCCTTTTTTATTTATATTAATCATAATAATGTTTTTTATATGATACTATACTGCTTTTTTCAATTTGAATATATTGTTACAAATAAAACGTTTCCGAACAATTGCCAAATTGCTCATATAATTTGTTGCCCAAAAAGGTCGTCACCTACTATTTTTTTTGTTATGGCTGGGGAGCCAATAATATAAAGTTTAAGTGATAACTGTTTATTGATTAATTTTAAATCATACTTAGGAATATATCTTATATTTATTTCCCATGAAGATACAATTGCATACAAGTATGAACCGAAGTCATTGGTGTCATATGAGTTTCACTGTACTCCCCCTAAATTATAGAAAAAATAAATAAATACACAACATTAACATAAAATTCAAATCATAATAATTTTGTTTCTCACTGTTTTCATTTTAGGAATATGCTAGCCAGTTAGGCATTCCATTCCTTGAAACTTCAGCTAAAAGCGCCACCAATGTTGAACAGGCCTTCATGACAATGGCTGCAGAGATTAAGAATCGTGTTGGACCCCCATCCAGCGCCACTGAAAACACTAGCAAAGTTAAAATCGATCAAGGGCGTCCAGTGGAAAACACCAAGTCCGGTTGCTGCTGAATAACTTTTACTCCCCAACTACTTGTGAATCATTATTTTATTATAATATAAAAAACAAACAACAACAAGAAAACAACCAAGAAACAGTAAAAAATATAATAATAAATTCAAAAACTAAAAAACCAACAAACACACACACACACATTCATAACGAATAATAAGAATAATAACGATAATAATGATTGATACAAGCAACAATTAACTATTGGAAGACTAATTGATGAACAATAGTTTTCTTTGCAAATTCTTCAAAGATAATGATTGTAATGAGGCGGAGTTACTAATCAAAGATTTCTTTAGCTATTTGAAGATTGACTTCCACTCAGCGACAGTTAATGATGGATATGGCTGGCGGTCGAATCTTTATATATACATTTCGATGGACACAACAACATGATATATAAGATTATTTTTTATTTTAAATAAAATGTGTAGTAGCTAAATGCAAAAGAAAAAAAAAGAAAAAGCAACAAAATAATAATATACAAAATGGAACAACACACAACAGACACATACACCAATCAATAATTAAGAAGAACTGGAGGTTACAATTTTATAGACAACTCTAGCATAAGTTTCTGCATACAAACTATTTTCAGCTATTGTCCTGTAATTTATCTTTCGGTAGATGTCCCTATTTTGCACTATTAGTAATATATAATTGTGTGATAAAGGCCTTTTTGGTAATTTTGGTGTTGTTTCATAATAAGATTAATATACTTTTCTTCCGTTTATAAGCAAGCAATGTCGTCGTTTGTGTTTCCCTTCTTTTTCTCTAACGCTTTTCAACTATTGCCCCCTACTATAAATATTGTGCGATTCTCTTTATTTTTTTTAATAATAATTTGTGATGTGTAACAAGTATTTACATTAAAAAAACCAACGTTCATTTAAAGAAAATAAATTAGTTTTAGTGATATTTTTCTTTCTCAATCTCTCTGTCCTTAGTCCTGTCGTCTTCAGTTACTAAGCACCAATTTAATTAACTAGCTCTCGTTGTAATTAGAATAATTACTAACATTTAATTTACAGAAAAGAAAAAAATAACCAAATTATGAGAGTAAATTTGGATTCAAGAAGAAATTAAGAAAACAAAACAATAGCAAAAAACAAACAAAAAATAATTAGTTTGCAACGTAAAAAATACACTTATACATAATTACAAATAATTATTCTCTGAATATATAAAAAAATAGATCGTAAAAACCAACAACAAATCGATTATATATATATTTAATATACATTTTCAAAATAAAACCACAATATGTTTTCTTTATATTGGTTTAGATCCAATCGAGCGATCCTGTGTTACAGAAGTGCGATCAGTAGTAGGTCTTTAATTTATGTTCTATTCCTTTCTCGTGCATACGTGTACCCTCCAATAATTCTTTTGTCTTTCAAAATGATTTAATTTTTTATAATTTTATATGTTTTAAATAAGGGTTTAAATAAAATATATAAGAAGTATTTAAAACTAATTTTTATGTTGGATTTGTTTTTTTCTCATGAATTGATGTATTTTGTGGCATGGGAAAGTAATATTTTGTATACCTCAAAGTATGTGGCGTATATTCGTGTTTATTTTATATAACTAATACTGCCTAAAAGTATTCACCCCTATTCCGTATGTCGTCGTCGACACGAAACGACGTCGAAGAGCGTCGTCTTTTGCAAATTGGTATTCCCTATGTCGTTGTCGACATTTATCGATAACTATTGAAACATTTTTGGTATTCCGTAACAATGTGTGACGACGACGATGTCGAAGATTTCTTCGTCATAGTTTTTGTTGACGACTGAAGCGTTTGAACATTTTTTTTTTGAAATTAAAAAAAAAAACATGACCGGACAAGGACAGGATACATCGTTCTAGAATCTATTCAATACTTAATGCAAAATAAAGTGTAAATAAAGAAAAATATATGGGATCTATATATAAATCTAACCAATGTCAATAGGACTCGTCTATGTGGAAATAAAATTTCATCCCAATTGGATGGATTTTTTCCAAATTTCATCCCGTTCGGATCATAATGGTGACATGTAACTTGTTTAAAATAATACTAAAAGTAACTATATAATATAACTATATACTAAAAAGTAACTATGGGTCTATCTCGTTTCTTTTTGGTCGTTGCAAACACATTTACCAAGACATAATGGCCTGTGCCACAGTGCGGTGAAGGATACAATCACATTTTTGCCCAAAAATATGCAACAAAATTTTTGTTTTTATTGATATTATCGATAAATAGTCGACATCGTCGCATGAGTGTTACAGAATACCAAATCAGTGTCGAAGTGATGTCGATGCGATGTCGAAAGAGAAACGTCGTCGACAACGACGACGACATATGGAATAGGGGTGATTATGACGCGTTGACTATAATAAAAAACAAATAATAATTGTAACCGCCTGAAAGTAGGCAGTATGGTATAGAACATAATATAATCTTGGATACACTTTTTACAGTATTATACGATTTTGAATCATATTACAAGAAATCTTTTGGATATATCATAAAAAATACTTCCAAGACGTATATCGATTTATTAAATATTTTAGATGCCAAATTACACCGATGGAGGTAAGTAATTGTAGCTGTTATGTAATCTGAGACACATTTCCAAAATTCCAAATTTTAAAAACGATCCAAAAATTATGTTACTGTTATATTGGGGCTTTATTTAATGGTATATTGATAATTTTTTAAGTCAATTCAGCTTATATGTGCAACAAATATGTTGACTTGATAATGATTTATAATAGAAACCCAAGAAGCACCAAAGGCAAATACTTCGTCATTACTTAAATAAAGCGTAGATACGCTGTAGGACTTTCATCTATTAGTTTACAAAATGTTTAGTTATAAAGTAATTATTAATCAACTGATTATAAATTAGCTAGAAAGTCATCTAAGACTCAACCACATTGAAACCAAATATATGTTCATGTCATCAAAAACATAACACACGCAAAACAAGAAACCGTTAGAATTGCATTCCACACAACAGCACCGAATGCAAAAATGAAGAAAAATCATTCTGTTTGAAATCGTAGTTAATTGTAATTGTGCTCTCTTTAAGTGTGAAATTAAAAATAAATTGGTAAGTGTTTTAATAATATAATTGAATTGGTCCTAGCGAGTCACATCGTAGAAAATTAGGTAAATCTGCAAATATAGATACATATTTTTTTTTAATTTGTAGCGCATATATAGCATTTCCACATTAAATGAAACCTTTTACAAATTAAATGAACCCTTTTCCAAATTAAATGAAACCTTTTCCAAATTAAATGAAACCTTTTCCAAATTAAATGAAACCTTTTCCACTTGAAATGAAACCTTTTACAAATAGAATGAAACTTTTTCCAAATTAAATGAAACCTTTATTCTTATCTAAGGAAATATAATATTTGCACTAATTTTAAACCAATATTTGAAAATTAAATCAAAGAATATTACCAACTATAGTTGTATGGCTATGTAATTAACATAAATATTCTTTAATTCGGTGTGATTTCATTTAATATCTTTACTACATAAAACTAAATAAATAGTAATACAAACTGGGGTATTTCTTGACATTTTAATAAATAAATATTTAAGAACAAGAATTGAATACCCGGCCCTAAATGCGAAATACATATTTGACTTAATAAATTGTTGATTGATATCCTAATGAAGGGGTTCCCGACTTGCAGCTTGTGGGATTTTCAAAACCATGTCCATAACGTAGTTAGAACAATCTTGCCGAGTAAGCTTTTGAATACTTCGCTCGATTACATCAACAATGTTATGTTCCATTGAAACGTCACACAGCTCAGCTCTTGCACATAATTTTATTTTTGAAAATGCATCGATTGGATTTAGCATTGGAGAATAAGGCGGTAAGAATTTAAGGTTGCATCTTTTGGATTCGATCAAATTTTTTATGTCATGTCGCTTGTGTATTTGAGCGTTATTTTCCAACTCTGGATTGATTTTCTCAAAAAAAATTTCTATAAATAATTTAAATCTGTCTGCATTGACACTGGAATTAGAAACAATTGTGTGATGTACAACTCCCGCGTTGTTTATTGCTGCAATTATAGTGACATTACGACCTCTGATCGTAGGCAACACAATGTGTGCTCTTGTTCCTTGTCTTGAACGGGCTTGGGTTCTTCGTATGTGAAGATTAAATCCACACTCATCAATGAATATAAATTTTTCTCCTTGTTGGGGTAAATATATAAAGTCTTGAGCATATTTTTGTCTCAATCCTAATGTTCTGGAGTCATTCTTTCGTTCTATTTCAATAGAGGCCATCTTAAACGTAATTTTTAATTTCCGTAATCCATATTCTATGCAGCTTGTGGAAATATATCATTTTCTCTCAACAGTTTAGTTTTTATGGCTTTGAGGGTAATTCCAGGTTGACTTTCTATATAGAACTCGATCAGACTTAAAACTTGTGGTGTCAACAACTTAGTTCTATTTCCTCCACGCTTATTTTCCTTCAATGTTCCAAAATTTTGTTTGTATCTTCTTATAAATGTTTTTTCGGAATTTATGTTTATGCAGGTTAAATTTGCAGCCTCGGAAATGGTTCTCCCCTCTTCATAGAATTTAAATAATAACAATTTCATGTCTTTTGTTATTTTGTTATACTGACACAATTTGTTTCGGGGTCTTGTAGATGTAGCTTCGGTAGGTTCTGGAGCATTTCCACTTGCAATACTTGGCGAGGATATTGATTCTTCCTCAGGTTCCCAATTATCTGAGCTTCCCGAGCTAAAATCAATTTCGCATTTATTTTAAACGTTGCTATTTTTAAATACAGTGAACTCTCGACAATGTGAACATCCAAAACAGTAAACTCTCGACAATGTGAAGTAATTACAAACAAAATTTTGGAACATTGAAGGAAAATAAGCGTGGAGGAAATAGAACTAAGTTACTGACACCACAAGTTTTAAGTCTGATCGAGTTCTATATAGAAAGTCAACCTGGAATTATCCTCAAAGCCATAAAAACTAAACTGTTGAGAGAAAATGATATAAATATTTCCACAAGCTGCATAGAATATGGATTACGGAAATTAAAAATTACGTTTAAGATGGCCTCTATTGAAATAGAACGAAAGAATGACTCCAGAACATTAGGCTTGAGACAAAAATATGCTCAAGACTTTACAAAATGGATACCCCAACAAGGAGAAAAATTTATATTCATTGATGAGTGTGGATTTAATCTTCACATACGAAGAACCCAAGCCCGTTCAAGACAAGGAACAAGAGCACACATTGTGTTGCCTACGGTCAGAGGTCGTAATGTCACTATAATTGCAGCAATAAACAACGCGGGACTTGTACATCACACAATCGTTTCTATTTCCAGTGTCAATGCAGACAGATTTAAATTATTTATCGAATTTTTTTTTGAGAAAATCAATCCAGAGTTGGAAAATAACGCTCAAATACACAAGCGACATGACATAAAAAATTTGATCGAATCCAAAAGATGCAACCCTAAATTCTTACCGCCTTATTCTCCAATGCTAAATCCAATCGAAAATGCATTTTCAAAAATAAAATTATGTGCAAGAGCTGAGCTGTGTGACGTTTCAATTGAACATAACATTGTTGATGTAATCGAGCGAAGTATTCAAAAGCTTACTCGGCAAGATTGTTCTAACTACGTTATGGACATGGTTTTGAAAATCCCACAAGCTGCAAGTCGGGAACCCCTTCATTAAGATAAGCAGTTACCTTATCATCAACAATTTATGAAGTCAAATATGTATTTCACATTTAGGACCGGGTATTCAATTCTTGTTCTTAAATATTTATTTATTAAAATGTCAAGAAATACCCCAGTTTGTATTACTATTTATTTAGTTTTATGTAGTAAAGGTATTAAATGAAATCACACCGAATTAAAGAATATTTATGTTAATTACATAGCCATACAACTATAGTTGGTAATATTCTTTGATTTAATTTTCAAATATTGGTTTAAAATTACTGCAAATATTATATTTCCTTATAGTACGTTTACATTTAACCGGATTTCATTAACCCAGTGGGTTTCAATTATCAATTCCTTTGTATATATGTCAAATAAATCCTCATAAAGTAGGTTAACCCGGTAAAAAGTTCTAATGTATATGCCGTTTTAGATAAGAATAAAGGTTTCATTTAATTTGGAAAAAGTTTCATTCTATTTGTAAAAGGTTTCATTTCAATTGGAAAAGGTTTCATTTAATTTGGAAAAGGTTTCATTTAATGTGGAAATGCTATATATCGGGATAATTGTATTCTATATAAGCTGCGTTTTTGTGTGTTGAGGGTATGTTAATGTAAAGTTAAAGATAAACTTACCGTTCTTTAATAATGATGATTAAATTACTATAGTAAATATATTTGTTTTCAACATTTTATTATTATACACACGTAAATTATGTTCTAACAATACATTTTATTTATTTATTTAATTTTAGTATATATTTATGTATCCATTTATTATTTTGTATACTTATACCGGAAGCAATCTGGTTATATTCTGTTATGTTTTATTTGTTTTTGTTGTTGGTAGATTGGTTCGTTATCTCAAATAAATCAATTAAAATACATTGTGGTCAGAACGGCTGTAGTACTCATATCCGTTATGGCTGCCGCCAACGAATGTGACTCTGGTATTGGTTTACTACTACTTCCGGTTGTTGAAGTGGATGTGGAAGCACTGCGCCATGTTATTGATGTCCGTTCCGTGCCCGATGACGTCGATATTGAATTAACTAAAAAGGTCGCTTCTCTTCTAAGTGGACGCCTAGATCTCAAGCTGCGACAATCGGCCATGTTGTTAGCTTCACGTTTTGTATATGTGGTGAGATGACGATTACATAGTCCACGTTTTTGTTTGTGACTGCGACAACACGACAGCAATAGGCGCCAGAAACCAGTTCGAAATTTCGATGACATCAAATTGTAAAGGATGGGATTGAGAGCGGAATTCAAATACAACATAATGCGACAGAAATATAATATATTATAGTAGCCCTCCAGACCCAGAGAGAATATATCTTCTGGCGAACTGACAATGACCCAAATAGTGAATGCTCGAAAGGGCAGCAGACAAACAAAGAAACTGGCCACTACAGCCACCAACATGAAAATGACCTGCTGGCGATGTTTGCGCAAATTATTATTCTGAGGATGACTGTTGACATTGGTGGTGGTAGCACGTCTCGTGGAAAGTTGTTGTGTGGCCGCGGTGTTACCTGTTGGCGATGCCGACGGCTGGGTTTGTGGCGAAGTGGGTCTTTGGAATTCCGAATGTCTTCGCAACAGTTTGTAGGCAATGGCTGTGTAAAGCAAAACCAAAATCGCAAATGGTATTAGAAAGAAAATCGTAATGCTGCCAATGAAATAGAATGAACTCCAAAATGTATCGGCCGATGTAAAGCAAACGGCCTGAATACTTCCGTCATAATATGTTTCCAAACGATACTGGGCTATCAATATAATGGGGCTGAATGTAAAGAGAAAGTTGAATTAGAGACATTTTTAGCATTTTAAAATTGGTGTATCATCAATGAATGTGTTTTTTGGTTTTGTCGTTTTCAAAGGAGAGTACTTATCCAATCGTTTGTGTGCATGTCAAGCCAATCATGGATGCAACAATACGAATTTTGTTATTTATTTACATAATGCACGAGAGTATGAATGTGGATGGCAATCGGCAATAACTACATTGGTCGCTAAATAAATTTACAAGAATTTGGGAAAAAAGAAACAAATTGTAATTTACAAAAAATATTTTTTTAAAGCAAAAAAGAAAACTATCTACAATAAATACATGGTTATGTTTATATTTACATAGTTTTATAGATTACAATAGTTTTTGTTTAAATTAATATAATATTTAAATTATATATTTATTTAATTATATGAACTGATATAAATATGGTAAGATATATTGTTGACACTATTGACCTTGAGGAATTTAGTGTTAAGGAATGAATTTTAATAATAAAAAAATAATAAATAAATATGGTAATATTCAAATAATAATTATTGGCGTCATGTTTTGTTTGTTTTTTTTTCAGAAATGTCTGTACTTTGTGACTTAGAAGCTGTAAAGCTGTTTTATTTTTCATCAGATCATAAGTAATGATTCCAACATTATTGTTATATGTTCTCTCCAAACTGTTTTAAGAATTTTATGAAATAAAATGTTAACATTTCGAATATAATGCAGATTTAGACAAGTGGGAATAACAAGCAATAAATATTTATTTTTATGAAGTTCCCCTTAAAATCAATTATTTCAAATAAACAGAAAATCATAATTTCTTTGTCATATCTAATACTTCAGCAAAAAGTTCTATGAATTCATTTTTACGATGCAAAATTATTTATTATTTATACATACATATATAAATAAGATACCATTTTAAATTTAATATTTTCCGTATTAAAATAAATAATAATAATATAAATATTTTTATTGTACCACTTATTTTTATGATTTCGAAATGCAATTGAAATTGAATGGAAATACATCTCATTGCCTTCAATTGCGTTTTTTATTATAAAATACTAAGCACACATTAGCAATTAATTATGTGTAGTTAATTAATTAACTATTTAATATTCCAGATGCCGGGAAATAATTTGTGTCGTATAATTGACGAATTACAAGCAGCATTTTTTGAAGAATTACAATTTGCAACAATGTTACAAGAAAACAATTGACGTTTGACTAGTAAAAATACAACAACAATTAAACAACATTTTTTACTAGAATAGGGATGTCGATTTCGAAATTGTAATAAATGCATACATTTCAAAATGCACATTACGAAATAGAACGCGGAAAACGCTTATTTATAGGGAACCCATTTTCTGGTCAAGAAGTTTTAAGACATATTTTTCATACAAATGTTTACTCTTATAGCGAACTACGGAGAACATGCTACATGCTACAAATATAAATATATACATATATATATATATATATTTAATTATCTTATGACATTTCTAATTAGATTTAGTTCTTATATACAATTTTGAAATCTCGACATCTTTTACGCGCAACAATCGTCTTTGTATCGTTAACGTATTAAAAGTTATTAAGTCTTTCCAAATCTATTTGTAATGTTGAACTTAGCGGATCACAACTGAGTATTACACCCTGCATGCCATGAATCGCCTGAAATAAATATGTTTCAATTTTAATCGTTTTATATTTGAATACGAACATTGTGACGTATGAATATTCATATCCACGAACAACGTTCAAAATAAAAAAAATCATACGCCCTGAGGGAATTCTACTTAGCTACTTTTCAATACATACTTCGAATGACGTTCTACTTTGATTTTTTTCATATTCATGTATAATATGTTATAAATTGTTCACAATTTTTTATCAGACCTCGTATATATAAATACACCTTAATAATAGCATCTGTTGGCCTCTTCTAACAGATGATTTTTAATTTATTTGCACTATTAATTGGGTATCAATATGTGTGCAGTTCATTTCGTTGTTTCTGTTTATAAAATTGACGTTAATTGTTTAGATGTGACGTATTTGGGGGCACTCTTTTTTCAATCGAAGATGACAATGATGGGGGAATAAATTTCAAATATCAGCATTGCTTCAATCAAATTAATATGATTGTTATAAATGGGTTCGTTGACAGCGTTTGCAGATTCTATTTAAATATAGTTTAGTGAACTTGCGATATTCGACACCTAAGTATAATACTATTATTTAAAAACGAGTAAAAAAGTGTCAATCGGCATTGCCGACAGATGCATACTCTCAGGCTGTGGTTTGCGGAATTATACACGGGTTTTGTTATTCGTTGTATAAATGATATACGTTTTCATCAAAGAGTTAACCATCTGAGAGAGGTACCAGGTTGATTCAGACCCATCTTTAGATTTAAAGTAGGTTTCTTAAAATATTACGACGTGAAAGCAATAAATTAAAACGGGTTTTCTATTTACAGGATTGTAAAATGTTGACTCTTTGTGGGAGAGGTACCTGAGAAGAGTATCTACGCGCAAGGATTTAGCGGCGCGAAAGTCAGAAAATTGAACTATACAATTTGGTATTTTTTGTAATTTTCATTTTTCATTTCATCGACTACATACCCTGTCATGACTCAAATATCGATTTAACTTTTTTATTGAGTTATGCCATGTTCTGACGTGCATTCGAACAACGTAGTTCGCTCCCAGAATTATGTAAACGAATTAACCCGTTCAGACAACACAATTCTTAATTCATGTCATCAGAGTTTATTTTTTAAACTGTTCGTTTCTTGTTTTACACCAAAATTTTAACATAATTGTGTGAATTACATATGGATCTAATGGGTCGATTACGGATGGCAACCAGAGTTTAGTTGCGTTGCCAGTTGCCAAATTTGCATTATGGATGGCAACTGTTGTCAACTTCAGTTGCTTCAAATAGAATTTTTCGGCAACCATTTATTTCTGGTTGCTGTTTATAATAACTGAACTTTGTAGGCTTCCCATAATGGTTAATATTACTATAAAAGAACAATTTGACCGGATGGAAGCTCAACCAAATGTAGCACGCGGCGTGCGGACTTTTGGTCAAACCAAAGCCACTATCGGTGATGTGTGGAAGGCCATTTCAGAAGACCTTAACTGCTGTGGCATTCCAAATGCATGGCAGAAAGTGGCGAACATCTTATTTTTGGTCCATTATATGTACGTGTGTATAATCAATACATCCGACAACATGAACATAATTTTCATCATCAAAAAATAGTTCCACTTAGCTTATCATCACATATAATTAGCTTTTCTGATATATATTATTCATTTTTTTGTTTATTTACAATATTTCTAGTTGTAGAAATGTAAAAACTGTATTATCGACAGCAACTGAGAAAAGTTGCTATTCATAATGTTAAGTTTTATTTCAATTGCGTTGCCAGTTGTAATCGCTACTGGAGTTTGGTTGCTTTCCATAATCGACCCATGAATTGAAAATATGATTCTCTTTCTCCTGACTATAGTATGGACCCACATCTATTTACTTTTAATTCATGTTTTCAATTTTTCTGAAAATATTGTTGTTATACATACATAAATATTTTTTCATATTTTCCCAATTCAAATGTCAAATATAAAAAATTGGAGAATTTTTGTTTGGAGAAATCTTGTTTTGTGCGCTAATTAGAACCAAAGAGAAAGAAATGCATTATGCACATGTAGATTACAAAATTTACATCATTCTCCATATATAAAAACTAAACAATTTCCTACTTTTCATTCATCATTTTCAATTGTACTGAAAAAGTTTGAAAATTTTGTAAAAATGTTCATGTTGTCAAAATTAATTTATTTTCGATAAATACTCTCAATTGTTAGGGATGAAACAAATTTCTTGGTTATTCAGAGAGTAATTCGAATTGAACAATGTACAAAAGTCGATGTTCGCTTAGAAAATTTTGTATGGGGAACTAAGTAGTTACTTCATAATTAAGGGTCGAACAATGAATGAGAGAGGGAACAACGTATGTACATGGCATTAATCTCAAAATTTTTTGCAGCATCAGATTTGATGAACATTTTTGACTAATTACTCCCATTGCACTTTGTATAATTAATACATAAATTATTAATATAATTAAACGAAATGCATTGTTTACCGATAGTAGACGGGACGACCTTCATATCTAGTATAATGTTAGTCTAATTTTTGTATGGAGAGTAATGTAAGATGTTATCAAATTTCAATTACAATTATTTTTTGCCTATTTTAAAACAATTCTTAAATAGGAGCTACACTAAAAATTCAGTAGGAGTACTCCACAAGAATCCAAAAGTGCCAAAAATGATTCGATCTACACCATATATTTACTCACTAATATATATTCAAATTGCAAATTTGGTTTAGATTTAGATTTCGACCACTGTGCGACGGGCCCCACCTTTGCACTTGATCTATGTAAGGTAAACATATTACAATTTGCAAAGTTTCGAAGAAATTATATATGCTGCCAAATTTGCAGAAAATAATTGGAATTTTAGATTCTTCATAACTTATGAATGTGTAACGTTATAGACAATATTCAAACGTCTTGCCACATTAACAGAAAATAACATTTTTCTTGTATTCTTCAAATTCAGGTAATATCCCAGCGAACGGTAAATAAATAAGAGAAAAATTAGCATTATGTGAAAATTCAAAGATATTATCGACCAAATTTTTGTTAAATGGAAACAAAGCCGTCTGTACCCCACACAAATAATAGATCACTTGAAAAGTAGAACATAACGGTTACTCCTTTCAAGAGTTATGGTCCATGGAACATAGGGCCTAAAACCGATATTTCGGTAAGGAACATTTTTGCAGTAGCAAAGTGTATAACCCATTAGCCATAAAACTGATCGGTTATACACTTGTTTATTTATTTTCGTATAAACTATTACTGTCAGACTAAATAACTACTTCTATTAAGTTACGTATTTAGTTAAGAGACGTCCATTTT